CCAAAACGACCGGCACTAGATGGGGAGGCCTTTATTCAGCGGTGAATTGAAAAAAGAGGTCGGTACATTCTGTATTTGATGATTAGCGAATTGAAATATATCAGCTCAAGGGGGGGGGGGACCTACAGACTGACACACACGCATCGTTATACTCTCGATATATTTAGAGTCTACGGCGATTGCATTTCTTCAATCTGCACGGGGATTCGACAAAAACGAAAAGAATGATTACCATTTGTATCGATTTTTTTTTAAGCGACGCTTCGTAGGCGCAGAAGCGATGCATCATCGGCTGCACATCATAGCATGAGCGTTAAAAGGCAATATACATTACTCTGACGTCGCTGGCAGGGATGAGTTTGGTGATTTTCTCTTTCTCCCGGGCTCACCCGACAACGCAAAGCTCACGCGTTGACCTCGGGGGACGAAAGCCTCTTTCCAGGAGTGGCAATGCCAGCAGTTGAAGGGATTTTGTTTTCTCTTTCTCTCTCTGTCGCTCTCTCTTAGAACGCGACTTTTTGTTTTGTTTAAATGAACGTGTCGATGGATATGAGTAATGCCTCGCAATGGGGGCACGGTCACTCGCTCTGCTTTAAAGCATCGCGTCGCTTCGAGCAGCCGTCGGCCGGTTTGTTTAACGTGGGGGGTCGGTACTCTGACCGTTCCCGCGACTTAATTTCCTTTGCGGCCGGCGGTCACACGAGGCCCTCCCGACCTGAGCACTTCCTAAAGCCTCGCAAATTATATATACATAATTATTATTATTTTTAAAAATCACTCATTGCATGAACGCATTCGAGCGGCACTAATCGGATGCTGAGAGGCAAGAATTTTTTCGACGTAAGAAACCACGTGTGTTCATGATATGCCCGCACCTCCGATTTTAGCAATGTTGGCTACGTACGGTGGGAATGAAGGTCAACATGCAGGACACACATAATTGCCATGCTCACTCACTCATGCCACTGCGAGACAATTATTATGGGATAACGCCGGGGTGTGTGTGTGTTAATGCTTGGCGCGCCAAATGGTATTTGAGGGTTAAATTGGGGCTTAGGAAGCAAAACGGTGATATACCTACCCCCTGCTTTTGACGGAATCTTGACCTGCGCGTGGCCGTCAGAGTAACATCTCTCCTGCGTCACAACGCACGCGGAGCGTCTCGCGCGTTTGATGTTGCATTCACGAACGGTGACAATCTTTGGCACGTGCACACACACACATACACACACCGCGGACGTCCAACAACGCACGCGCAAGCAACCCATCGCAAACGATCCGTGACCTCCCACCCTCAAGTAAAAAAAAAGGTGTCTAATAACGTTAACGGACAGCCCTGTCTATCCACTGCTGGATGGACTCCCCACGCCGCGTCAATGATTGCGGTAGTTTGACCATACTTCCCCACGCTGGTCATTACGGCTTGGTTAAGGGCGGGAGGGGGTGGGGGGTGCGGCGAGGGGGGAGAGTTGCACGTCACTGAGTTGACAGAACAATGCGCCAACCACTGCACCACCACTCCTAATTTTACGTACTTATCTGTGTTGATTGTGTAACATTTAATGAGTTCATTCCGATTTGTGAGGGGTGGGGTAGGGGGTATGGGGGGGAGGGCAGTGTGTGCCACAACCAGTTCAGATAGCACTTGCCATTGATGTCAGTCGTGGCTGGGAATCGAAGAGGGGGATGCATTCCAATAGCGCATTGCGCTAACCACAAATATGATGTCACATTTGTATTAATGGACAAACGTGTGCTTTCGCACACGTTTTGTTCCATCTTTAAAATGCCACAACAGAAGGATACACACGTGGGCAATTCTCTTCACGCCGACACGAACAAAAATAATACAAAAGCACGTTGTTTATTTTCTTCGCAACAGCAAAACTATAGGCCACAAATCGAGCGCACTTGTTTTTCACGTGCAGAAGCCACGTGGAGAGAAAGATGTGTGCACAATTCCCAGTGGCACCCTGCACACACGCACACACAACACAAATGTTCTCCGCTGGGGCAAGTGCTTTTCGCGAGCACATTTGAAGGCCGGCACAGCGCATTGGCGGGGGGGGGGGGGGGGTGGTGCAGTGGCCAGCACCACGCCTTTGTCTCCAGAGTGCCGATGGATGTTTACACACTGCGCCAGGTATTCATTTAAGGCTGAGTCGACCTAGAGGACCCCCACATAACCACACATCGGCACGATTGCATGTTGCACTATAAGTTATGGCGAATGAAAGCGGTCCATTGTCCCCGAAGATTATCCCGAGGTAAATGTTGCGTCTCGTCGCAGACCGCGCCACTTTGGGTTTCAGTTGATGAGTCAGGGACAACTTCTTCTTTAGTTTGCATAATGCGTAAAGGGCTATGGGTTAGGATTCATGGTTATGGGTTAGTGATGAGGTTACTCTTTGGGGTTTATGGTTCATAGATACGGTTTTGAGCTAGGTACAAAGTTAGGGCTTATGGTGAGTTATAGGTTAGGGTTTAAGTTTACGTGTTACAGTGTAGGCTGTCGCCTTATGGGTTCGATTGTAGGCTTCGTGGGATAGGGGTTAAGGTTCAGGGGCTATGGTTTCGGGTTAGAGTCGGGGTTACCCCGTGATTATGAGTTACCTTTACGGGCAGTCATACCCAGTTACTGTAATCACCAGCGAAAAGTCGTACTCAAATGGTAAATGTTGTGAATTTACTGTCAAACACACCGGTGTGCTGAAGTAGTAACTAATTGGCACGTTTTGTTTACGTGGCAAACTTTACTAATTGACTGCGTCGGCTCGTCAGTGGGTTAACGGCACATTTTAACGACGCAAACGACTCCAATTAGTAACATTTGTCATGAGTGATACCCAAGACTGCTTTTCTCACCACGCATGTGTGGGGACAATAGTCTCGGTGGTGGAAGCAAATGGGTTAAGTGGGCTTGGTTGCACGTCCACGGAACTTGATGCCACAGACCTCTCTTGTCACACAACAACAACCGCCATTCGCCACTAAGTGGCGGTGGCATCACCACGGCGCTTGTGCCAGGCTATGTGCACCTTGAGGCCACGTGAAGTGTCGAACGCCCGCTGGCAGGAGGTCACGGGGCAGACCCAGGTGCCACGGGTCGACTGACTAAGATGACTGAGATGACTTGCTGATGCACCACCTGTGACCCCTACTGTGCCAACACACACACACACAGACCTTCCGAGGGTCGGCGGCGTTGGACTCCACTCCACCATGGCTGGCGGAGAGAGCAGCAGTCGGATGACTCGTTCGCTCTGGTTCGCCGGACTTCTGCTGGCGATCGGCGGAAGAGAGTTGATGGCGGAGAGAGCCGGTAAATCTTAACGGATCCCGGGGTTTGAAAGACGTTAAGAGAGGAGGAGGAGGAGGGCCCCAGGTGTTTGGGTCTCGACGCAATGGGTCTCCGTACCTTTTCATGAAAATATTCAATGACAAATTAAGCGTTAGGCCCCGGTAAGCACACTAAGATATTTTGAATGGAGTGTTTATCTTACAGAAAGGTGGTACAGCAACTTCCATGCTCCTCCGTGTGCGTGGGGAGGCCCTCATCCAGCGGTGGATTGGCAAAGGGCTGTACTGTATATCTTTAAAGTGACTCACCTGTTTCCAAATGACTGCATTTATTGATCATACGGCAAACAAGCAATAACCCAACACTACATTTAAAACTTGTAATGCAAAAAAATTGCATGATAACAAACATTCATTCATGGAATTGGCCAAATATCCAAATGTAGCAGAACCCTTTTTTTTAAGAATCTTGAGACTCAGCCTTTCCTGGGTAAAATAATAATACTGCACTGTAATTGGCATCGCATTTCTAACTTGTCCCTATTGGGCATCTAACAGCGCAGCATTCTGCAACCCTAATTAATTACTGGCACTGTATAATTGTGAATTCCTCTGACTCACAGCACAAAGATAACTTTGCGACACTTGGATTTGAATGGTTTTGTTACGTAACCGTGAGCCCAAAGCCGTTCCATCCAACGCCTCGGTCTCCAAGTGGGTGGGCTCACAGCGAGTCGCGTTCATTAAATAGTCGCGTCACGGTGCCATCAATTGATGTTGATCATTTTAAACGCTCACAACGGCGAGTGTGGAATTGAGCGTGCGAGAACCCGATTCATCTTACGAGTTGCGCGAACGATACGCTACCAAGTGGCACGTTAGGGCTAATGAGGGGGGAGGGGGGAACCCCCCGTTGAAATAAAAAAAAAGAGAGAGACTCAAAAAACGAGAGGAAAATACAAAACGAGGGCTTTTAAACGCGACAGTCGAATCTCGAATCGAATCGTTACAGTCAAATGACATCCCCATAATTGATCGAATCGCAGCAGGATGCAGACGTGACTCAGCAAATGCCTGCCACTGGATGGTCGACATACCCGCAATCGTTCGATGTAAACAAAAACACACACACACGCAACAAAGACAAAGATACCCCATATAGCCTAAACCGACTGTCGGGGCAAGTGCTGTTAGCGAGCACTTATGAAGTGCCCGGACGACATACGAAGGGCTTGGCGGACAGCACCACGCCCGGCCGCCTTTGTCAACCCCCAGTGGCGATGTTGACACACCGCTACACCAGGTACTCATTTGAGGCTGAGTCGACCTAGGGGACAGGGCCCAGGACCGTTTCAGATAATTGTCACTGGTGGGTGTGAGCGGGACTCGAACTCGGGCCGCCGGGTCCGTAGCGCATCGCAGGCGCGGCGCGCGCACCGCCACACCTACCGCTCCCCTCCTCCACCCAGCGACGGCAACACACAACAGTTGCTCAGTGGAACCCTGCGTCCTCCTCGTCGGCGGACGACCTATATAATGTCGTCCCTCTCTCGACCTTGTTAAATGCGCAGACCTTTGCTCAGAGCTAAGCGAGGAGTCGTTGAGCAAACTGCAAGGGGACAAAGTTAACGCGCGTAACACGCGACTGCGGCGGTGCCGGGACGCAGCGCACATTGACGCGTAAGTCGACTCGTCGCGAGTTTCGAGGGGTTTCCTTCCTTCTTTCTTTCTTTCTTCATTCTTTCTTTTGCCTGCGTGCACTTGGCGCAGCAAGCCCGCGCTTCTCACCGGCAACAACTAAAAAAAAAAGAGAGAGGATCTCTTTTTTTTTCTTCTGTTAAAAATGCGGAACTTATTGGCTTTCTGGGGGGGGGGTGTTGCGTGGATGACCAGGGGAAGGCGAAAAGGGAGGTCCCCATTTAAATGCGTGTATGTGAAAGGAGGGATTTTAGTGGCTTTGGGATATTCGTCGCACGTCGTCTTTGCACGCTGCGCCCCTGGGGATGTGTCCACGGGGCTGCGCGCACCGAATCCCCCTCCTCCTCCTGCCGCCGCTGCTGCTGGCAATCTCCCTGGCTCCTCGGCGCGCCGTTCCCCAGCGTCACGACCCCGACGCGTCCCCGCCGCTCCTCGCGATGTCCGCAGGTTGTCGGAACGTGCACTACGACCTCGTGTTCCTGCTCGACGGCTCGTCGAGCGTGGGCAAGGGCAACTTCCAGAAGGTGCGCGAGTGGGTGTCCAACCTCGTGGGCTCGTTCGACACGGGCCGCGAGAGGACGCGCATCGGGGTGGTGCGCTACAGCGACAGCCCGCACACGGAGTTCGAACTGGGCTCGCACTTCGCAAAGGAGGACGTCAAGCGCGCGGCGCACAACATCAAGTATACCGGCGGCAACACGCGCACGGGCGACGCCATCAGCTACATCACCAAGCACAGCTTCTCGGAGGAGGCGGGCGCGCGGCCCCACGACTCGTCCGTGAACAAGGTGCTCGTGCTGCTGACGGACGGACGCAGCCAGGACTGGGTGCTGGAGCCGGCCAAGGAGGCGCGTGCCGCCGGGGTGCGCGTCTTCGCCATCGGCGTGGGGGAGGCGATGCGCGAAGAGCTCGAGGAGATGGCGTCCGAGCCGCTGGACGCGCACGTCTTCCACGTGTCCGACTTCGACGCCATCGACAAACTTCGAGACATCCTGCGCCGGAGGATTTGCGAAAGTGAGCGCTCTCCCCCACCACCCCCACCACCCACCACCCCTCTCGTATTCACCTCCCGTCGAACCTCCCTCTCTCTCCCCTCAACCTGCCCCTTGTTTCGAAAGGTGCGGGGCTGGTCAGCTGGAAACGCGTGCGCCGAGTGAGTGTTCACGCTCAGCAGGGGCGACGTGTCTTTAAGTTTTCAGTGTTCATCAGCAGAAACGTGTCAATGAGTGTTCAGTGTTCATCAGCGGCAGCGGCAACGTCTGTGAATGTTCAGTGTTCAGCAGCAACAACGTGTCTTTGAGTGTTCAGTGTTCATCAGCGGCAACGTGTCAATGAGTGTTCAGTGTTCATCAACGGCAGCAGCAACAACGTCTATGAGTCATCTTCTTTGAACCAAAGAAGATGAATCATTGCAGTCACGAAAGCTTTAAATCGAAATTTAACGTCTATGAGTGTTCAGTGTTCATCAGCGGCAACGCGTGCACTTGGTGTTCAGTGTCCGTGTCGACGATTTGTAGAGTGGAGCAAAGTTAGGTGTTTTTTTTTCCTTCTTGCAGGAGTAGCCTGATGAATGTTTGAAACGATGCTGTCGTTGAATGATTGCAGTGGGCAGTGGAGCGGGTGTTTGTTGTTGTTGATGCTGCGATTCTGTGGTCCCATGGTTTGAGATTGGTGACCCCCCTACCTCCTCCACACACACACACACCACATTCGGCAGTCTCTGTGCCGCTGTGAAAGTGAGTGACGGGCGCGGTCTCGTTCTGGCCAACGCGCTCGCAACTTTTGCGACGGGAGACGCAACGCCATCCGCTTGTTTGTCGAGAGCTTCTCGTTTAATTGATTGCCTTTTGTGGCCAGCCGGGAGACGATTAAGTTGCCGTCGTCACAGTGCGAGATGAGTTGTGTTTATTGCATCGTTAGGGTCACTTTAGCGCATGCAGCCAGAGTTTATGTTGAATTTCAAGTCAAACTAAGCAAGTTGTTGTTCGCTGATGAAGACGCCCATATCTGACTTTTTACGTAAGGGTACAAGCTCACCACAGATGCGTGCATGTTTACGGGGTAATCTTATGTTCGTGTGGGCTATTAGAGTCACTTAGTGGATGTTCGATAACAAAAACAAGTTTACAGCCGAACGATTTTTTTTTTTATGGAAGCTTAGAAAAAGTTGTCATATAATAAAGGAAACAATATATTTTTTACCAATCGGAACTTCGTACAAACAGACCCAATCGGGCACCTGATTACGAGAAGACTACTCCAGCGAGTGGTAGTTTCGAGGTGACATGTATCGCCTAATTAGAGATCGCAATTTACGGCTTGGGAACAATGTTTGGTGCAGGGCACACAAATCATCTCCTGGCAGCCGTTAACGCAACAAGAACAAACACAAAAAAAGGCAAATTGCTCAGACAATGCCGGCCGTTCAACTCAACTGACTTGGAACGTGACGTTTTCGCTCAATGGGGTTAAATCTTAAAGATTTTAAACACAGTTTTATTGTTTGAATTTTTGTTCATCTTTTCTATGCAGCGTGCAGCTATGCAATTGGTTCGGGGAGATTGTGTAATTCCGTGCGAAATTGCTCTTTCCTTTTTCCTAACCGTGCACCTACCCTCGCTTGTATGAAATCTTACCCCCCTTTTCACCAACACACACTCGACTCCCCTTGCCCATGGGTGCCAAGCTCATAAAAAAGGAATAAGTAGAAAAAATGGTGCAATTTTAGATTTTATTTTTTACATTTTCCCTTTAAAGCAAAATCCATTGTATCCTAAAATACTACGCTTAGCTCCATACAATTTGCCCTGGAAGTGCGCCAAAGTTTGACCGAATGAAAAGCGCTTTTGAACATATTGTATGTGTGACTGAGCCGAGATTACCAATATTCCGGGAGCAGAGCCAGTGTGAGATGAAAGAAAACCAACGGCACTTTGTCCCAGAGCTCCCCCCTGTCGTGGGTCCTGCCACCATCGCGTCTCATCTCAGACGAAGGCAGTCCAGAATCAGAAAACAGTATTTTTTATACTGGAGGAATCCGACGAGCTACAAAACTCTATTTTTTTTTTACAGACGTCCAGTCGCATACGTGAAAGCAAAACGAGTGGGGAGACTGAATGCATTTCTCATAAGAGTTAACATGGAAGCCACATAATGATTTCTCGGTGATGAAACTTCCTGGAATTTTCTAAAAAGTTAATATTTATCTAAGAGAAAAAAGATAATTCTTCCGAGAAATGTTCACACTGCAGTAATGTGGTATCCGCCTTCCTGCTCTTCTTTGTTCACTCATTCCTGTCCCGATCTCCACTTCCACATGTGTTCGCTCTTCACATTTTATCAAAACAGATTATTATACATAAAGCGTTTAAGAGGTAGAAAAGTGGCGTAGTGGTTAGCACACCGTGCTGCAAAACCAGACTCGGGTTCGTCTTCCGAGCACAGCCATCATCCGTGGTGAGGGATATCTACACGTGTCATGGCATGGCCTCCTCCTTCACTAACCAGCGTGGTGAAGTATGGTCTAATAACTCACATGACCAAACAACACGGCGTAGCGAAGCCCTCACCCAATGTGGATTTACAAAAGGCTGTAAATTATTTTTAAAAAAATTACGAAACGTTTAATAATTTATCAAATATATGGAATTAAAACTGTAACGTGGCTGTACTTATGTATTTCCACTTCCAATGGGTTGATGCCGCAGGTGACGCGAGTCATGTATGCGCTGCATTTAGTCTGACACTCTAAAATACAAAGTCAGTGGGGGTTTTTCGTTCAGGTAATTTTTGGTGGTCCTGGAAGCTCGCTAACGCGATGGCGGTATTCAACGCAGTTTATCTGCACTTGACTTATCGTAATTTATCTCAGTGGGACGTTGCCAAGGCTGTTATTTTCATTTTTTTGCATTATCTCTGGACTCCTGTGTGGTATGTTTCGCAGATTTAATCAATACGTAGAGGTCAAACTGGAATTTGCAGAGCTCCAGTCTTTGAGCATTATGGGGTTACGCCTATTATTCCCCCCTCCCTCGCCAGAGGGTAAAACAGGGTCATAAAGGTGGCCTGGGTGATGGTATTCAATTCCTTCATGTGAATTCACTGAAAGAGAAAAAAAACAGGCTCTGGGGTTGAGGCAGTAAAACGTGGCTGCAGACGTAGCCTACAGCGAGGCTTTACATTTTGTGAGTGACCTCTGTGTTTCTTGTCTCGGCTTAACGTCACCCGTTATTGCGATTGCGTTATTTGTCACACGTCCGTCCGTCGTGATGGCGTTAAACTGGGCCAGCTGGGACGCGTACCCCTAACGCGGTGACGCGATTTTCCTTTTATACTTTAAAATTAAAAGGAACCCTCTCCTGCAGCAAGGGTGGAGGAAGGGCATTTTCAGCGTGAACGAAATTGTCTGCGGCACTTTTGAGTTTCCCTTTTTTAATGTTTTACGAGGTTGCTGTAAACGGTGGGGGGGGGAGTGGTGGTACGGTGGTGGTGGTGGCGGCGGCGGCAAGCCAAGGAAATATTTGTTAAAGCTCGTCGAAAGCAGCCAAAACATTGCCGGGCGATGCAATCTGTGGCCAGATTTCTCGCGTGAAAGTGTCTGCCACTGCCACTGCTGCTGTGAGGAGGACCACGAGCCTCTCACTCTCTCTCTCTCTTGGCCTGTCAGTGGAGATTATCCCGTGTGCCTTGACGTGTGTTCAGTTCTGCAGCGGGCTGGTTCGGCTCAAGGGTGTTACAGGGGTCATGACCTACGTGCAAACGACTGAAGTGTTTTATTTATTTAATTCTGAAGTTAGCCCCGCAAAAAAGAAACTCGCCCCCCCCCCGCCGCCCACCCTGAACCAAGAAAAAAAGTACGAAAGTGCAACGCGGTGGCATGTGGCGCTGGTGTAAAGCCACTGTGACCAACAGAGGCAACCTCGCTCCGGAGTGACAGATGGATTCCCGACGGTCAGCCTCTGACACGAGAACTTAAGATGTAAAAAGTAAGGGTGCAGGCCTGAAATTGCTCGTACGTATGTACCGTATGTCAGTGCCGGATTAAGCTTGTGCGGTGCCGATAGCATATGTATTAAAATGCATTTTTTTTTTACTTGCGTAGTAAAGTAACTGTATTTTTTCATTTGCTATACAGCCAGGTAATACGATAAAACGGCTAACCTTAAACACCCAGTCGTTCATAAAAGTTGCAGGCGGTATAGTACTATAGTAATAGAGCAAGTGCAGGATCACTGAGCCGTAATTGATAGCTTGAAAGCATTTAGAGCGGGGCCCTTGAAAGTGCGGGGCCCGTAGCTACTACACATGTAGCTACTTTTGCTACTAGGATAATCCGGCACAGCTGTATGTACGTACGTTGAACTTCTTTCACGCCGTGCTAATCGGAGGAGCGGCGGAAGGGCCTCCGCTCGAGCGAAAATACTCACCCCTCTGGCGGGTATCTTAGCCTACTCTTCCACACTGGCCCGATGTCTTGGAAGATATGGGAGCACCCGCACGTTACCCCACCGCAGGCGACTTGCTGTTGTGCGATGCATTTACACGTTGACGGGTCGACCACCTGAACCAATTTTTTCGACTGCCGGGAGGTCGAAACGGCGACCTCTGCATTCGGGACACGTAGCGCCTAAACATGTGCCACACTTCAACCCGCATTCTAAACTAATGACCACACACATGGGATCAGTCATTATATACCCCTCCTCTGTGCCCATTAGATAGACTCTAATCGACTCGGCACACTTAATAAGTGTGTTTATATGTTTAGTTGTGTTTTGCCAAAAGTCTGAACTAGACCTCCATGGAATTTTGGCATTTCAAAATAAACAAGTGATTAATGCTCTACCTCCAGTCGAAGGAGGATTTCGACGGCGATGTGACTGCATGTGTGTGCTAATGCCCACGCTCATTGTGATTTCTTTCCAACAGCCGTCATCTGCCCGAACCTGCAAATAGAGAAGATGAAGGAGCCGGGACAGTTTACCCAAGTCCCAGGTAAGTTGTGTTCAACCCATTTCAGTTTTCAAGAGGGAAACTAGGCCCTACCGTGCGCATTCAATGACTGATGACGGCTCTGTGAATGTTACGGACAAAACAGCTTGTGTTGAGTACAACAGACGCAACGTTTTCACATTGCCCAATGGAAATTATGAGCCTATTGAAAACCATAATCAGGGCTAAGACAACAACACAAAACGTTTGCAGGGATTTTTTTCGCCCAGATTTGTGGCCCGAGGACACCCGTCTCGATTGTGTCCACATCCCAACATTGCTGGCTACATAGCATGCACTCGTGTGTGTGTGTGTGCGTGCGCGTGTGTGTGTGTGCATACGCGCGCGTTTATTAAACTCTATCGTAGCAACCGTACAGTCACGCGTGCCTGTGTTCCTTTTGCCAACGAAGCGTACCAGAGCGAATGTTTCTGTGGGAACTGCACAAATAAAAAATATATATGCAATTTGTAAAAGTACGAAGGAGTGTATTAATTTGTTAACCTGCAGAGGATAACGTTTGAGGTTAGGATATATATTTTAAATTCTCTTGAGAATGGACTCGCTCTTATCAAAACAACACGTACTTTTCATTTGATTTCGAACCCCGGCAAATCGATGGGCTTAGCTGCACTCATGGAAGATGATTGGGAGAAAAAATATGTTGACAGCGTTTAGAAAAAATCATCATTCCTCTTACACATTTCCCTATCAAAATTCTCAGTTCACACAAACGTGGAGGATTCATGAAATTGCAGTGCGACAGGAGGATTGGCTAAAATATGCAACCTTCATTTTCGTGTTAGCCCTGACATGGGAGCCAAGGTCACGCTGCCTGTTCTTTATTTTCACAGATAATATCCTCGCAGCCTGTCAATGTGAAATGAAATGTTTATTGAATGCATAACTACACTCATGGGATGCAGCATAACATTCGAGAAGAGACACTTATTGAAGGTATGCTCAGATCCACACCTGTTCGCCGTACTTTATTTTATTTTTTCCCGAAAAAAAAGTTACGCCGGTCCACTTATACAGCGCAAGGAGCAACTGTGCAGGAGTATGAGGGGTGGCAGCAGCTTGCCAAGGGCTTTCATCCAGCAACGGATTGACCAACGCTGATAATGGTGATGAGCACAGCGCTGGTCGCGTCATGGGTAGACTTAATAACACGTGCCAGTTATTTACCTTAGGGAAACCTCGTGGAGTTTTAAATATACTTTGGTCCTGCTGCATTGGGATTCTTGGCCAATACCATTCGTGAGTGGTTGCCGTGATATGGAAGGAGTCTGCAGTGACCAGAGAAAGCCCATGCAGATGAGGGGCTGATACTCAACACTCCCATCTCTTGGCCACCTCGGAGCCCATAACTCACAACACCTGGAATGCTTTGATAATCATTGTAGTAGTAACCAGGCTCAAAAAAACTCTGCTTAGCTTCCTCCATCTACGCGATGGATGGCCTCTAGAAAGCATTTTTGAAAAACTACAAAGATTTTTATTTTACCAGGTAATGCCCAGCGAGCTATTTACCTCATTTTCAGAAGCGACCTGGCCACAAATGAGAGTGCAACAAAGTGGCTTGCCGCACGTAAATTCATAGCAGTTAAATACCCTCAATGCACCTCCGATGAATGCGGTTGGCTACGTACGGTACAAAATAAATTCGACGCAAATTTTTAGAGGACGCCAAGCAGCGTTTTAGGTAATGATCCTTCTTCACTGTACATACAACGGCCATTGCATGCAATTTCATTTTTTTATTTTTTATTATTAATTGTTATTGCCGAAAGTGCTGAGTTTTTTGTTGTTGTTATAATCGGAAGAGATTTAAATTAGTCTTTCCCAGAAGATGCGCTGTGATGATATGCATATGTCCAATAATAAAAAGCCCTTGCCTAAATACATCCGGATTGTCCACACGGTTGGTTAGCCTTGAAACGTGCCATGAATCTATTCGCCATCATCTTCGTGAAACAATTTATATACACTCGGCAGGAGACTAATAGGCGTGTAATTCTTCAGGTCAGTAGTTATCTCTTTTTAAAATATTATAAGAATGATTGAGGTATCATTCCCTGATGAAGGCATTTCATTAAGTTGTTTGAGTTTTTCATTTCATTTAATTTTCCCCTCCGTTGGTGGTGTCAATGACTGCATATATATTTAAACCATCATATAAAATTGAGTTTTTCAAATTAAGTTGGTAGAGTTTTCAGCCCTCGGAATGAAACTAGCATTTTGACTGGCAGGCGCCGACCGTGCAGGAGGAAGCGCGAGAGAGTGTGCCCCCTCAAGTATGGGTTCAAAGAAGTCAATTAAACTATAAACCATGTTTTATTTTACCAGGTCAGACACATTGAGCTAAATAGCTGTTTTTCAGAAGCGACCTCGCTATCACAAATGATGGCTCAAGAAGTGGCTGACAGTGTGGAAATGTATAGCAGCCAACTACTCTGAACGCGTGATGTTGATTCTAAATGTGAAGGGAAAAACCGGTGGACCCGGAGAAAAATCCACGCGACCACGGGGAGAACATGCACACTTCAAATATAAAGTCCTCGGGGGTCGGGATCGAACCAATGTACTCCTGGAAACAAGGCGAGGTAGTTAACATCTCGCCACCATGGCAAGAATGTCAGTGGTTTTGTGAATTCTGTTTCCCTAGGTAATTCTCTAACACAGGTGTGCAATGATCTCCGAAAGTTCTGAGCGGATTAAGTGTCTCATGACACGACAACAAAAGCAGAATTAAAATCCATGTGGGGAGCGGTAGTGCAATAGTTAGCGCGTTGCGCTGCGAACCCGATGAGCCGAGTTTTATTGCCCGCTCACGGCCAACACCAGTGACGATTATTTGAATCGGTCCTGGGCAGGTCGACTCAGCTTCAAATGAGCACCCTGTTTGATGTGTAAACATTGTCACTGGGGAGACAAAGGTGGCCGGGCGTGGTGCTGGTCACCCACCCCCTGTGTGCCGTGCCGGCCTTCACAGGTGCTCCTCGCTAACATCACTGTTAAGGCTAGACGGGAGATCTTTGTCTCTGTTTCCCTAGAAGTTGTTTTAACACAGGTGTGCAATGATCTCCGAGAGACCTGAGTGGATTCATTGCCAATGGTAGAATTAGAATCCAACAGGGCAACAAAGGCAGACAATTAAGAAGCCGAATGTTAGGTTCACGTGAATATACACAAGATTTCAGTTGTGCTTAAAATTGGTGAGTGCCCCGGATGTCTACAGTATAGCGTTTCTGTTTGTCTTGGTTGGCGGACAAGTATGCCATGTTGACAATTGCCATGGGAGAGATACGCATCTGCCCCTAGAAATGTTCAATTAGCCAGCCAAAGATACGGATCCCCCCCCTCCCAACCGTCACATTCACGAGGCATCAATCATTGCGGAGCGTATGGGATAATCTACGCATTTCTCGCAGATTGCAGTCGTCCTCCATATTTACCATCAACACCTCCGTCAATTTGCAGCCTGTTTGTAATTGCAGAGCGCTCCTTGATTTGTGAGCGCGCCAGTCGAGTCGGCAGTTCTATCGCCTCTACGCCAGCGTTGCTCCGTCTCTCCCCTCCACGCAACGTGTATGCACATTTGCTGGAATGTGCGTAAAACACCCCGTCAAGTGAAGTTACCTGTTCAAATACCCCAAAAAATGAATCTTGGCATTAACACAAGCAGTGATGGTCGTCAACCTATGCTTGGCGAAGTTTGGATATGGCATGGTTCGTGAGTTGATTCGGGAATGGCCCGCATATCGACGTATTGGCGGTGCACCGGTGCAGCATGACACACTGGTCCTCATAAACATCTAAACTTGAATCAGCAAATCTGTTTAGCAGTCTTTACTTGACCCTGTCGCCAAGTTTGACGCGATTCAAAGGTCAACTTTGACCGTTGATTTGGGTCCCGCTGAATCGAAGAACCGTCCGACCAAGTCTAGGGCACGAGGAGTCAAATTTTCGCCTTTGGGACACGGAGCCGGCCAATCGTCATCAGGCTGGGTGCTGCTATACGGCAACAGACTGTGAAACTTCGTTTTCAACCGCGCATGGAACACTCGTCTTCCGACTGCTTCGACACCACGGGAAATGATTTTGACGCACCCTGCAAAATGTTCTGACCGGGGTTGCGAATCGCGGGAAAATATATAATTTTTGAGATTTTTTTTTACCATGCACCGATCTATCGCCGATACGTTCATATACGGAATTAAACAAAGGGGAGTTCATATCAGTTGCAGTTATGGAAGCAGCGGCCTGGTTAAAACGCTGTAGTTTGCTCCACTTAAAAATTAAGGAAACCGCTTTGCGTGAATAACCTTAAATCAAACAGTATGACTGCTGATGAGGCCCAAGCATGTCAAAACCATCTCAAGAATTTGTCTTGTTTCATAAATATTCTGCTGGTTGGCATAAGTCGAAGGGGGCAATGTGCTGACACGCCGATCAACATTTTGTAAGTGTTGTGCAGTTACAGAACGCAGAGTGTCGTCTTCATGTATTTTATTACCTGGCCGCTGCCGGACGGCGCACAGTGAATTTTGGTGACCGATTCTAACACTGCCGCTTGTTGTGTGTGACCGACCCAAACCACATTGGAAAGGGGGGCGGGGGGGGGCAAAAACACACACACACAACACTCTGCCACTTCTTGAATTGGAATATCCACATTAGTTTTTTTTCCTTTACCAAATCCAAGCACCCACAAATATGAAGCGGCTGACCATTTTCCATGAAAAGCCCCCCAACTGTTTAAACTCTGGTGAAACGGACCGTGGCTTCGCCGGCATAAATGACTGCACGCGCGTGCGCGCGCGCTCGCTTTGATTCGACCTTTCCTGACCCTCGTTGTCTCGCCGCTCGGTAACCAATTTTAACGGGGGCGGGCTCAGTCAAGGGGATGACGCGACGATAATTTGAGCCACATTTGCGTTCGAGCGGAGGTGTCATGAAATGCAACGCGTCCCGAAATGCTCAGACGCATCGACTGCGGTAATCGCGTCTACGCACGACTTCTACAGGCCGTGTAGCCTGCAGAGATGCGTGCTTTGGAAAGTCTTAAACTGCCTGTTTGGTTTTGAATGAATGAATCTCAATTGCAAACCTGACTTTTAAATATATTATTTATGCAATGCACAAATGTTTTTTTTTTTATAATCCAATTACATTTTCTTGCGACAAAACGAAAACGGATTTTTCTTTTACCTAATATATCCAATTATCATGCTAAAGCACGCTGCCACTTTTATGCATTCACGGCATGATTTGAACAGAAAGAGGCAAAAAGTGTGCCATTACAGTGTTTACTGCACATAACCACAGAGCTTCATAGCAGTTCACGCTCACCATCCTAAGACCTCAAACCAGCTATGTCCAACTCAGTGCCGATAATAATGCTATATATATGTGTGTATATATGTATATATGTATGTGTATTTATACTTGTGTGTGTGCACTGTGGCTATGACAAAATGGCCCAGAATGCAGCGACTCTAAGCTTAAAGGCCGTATCTGAACGTGGCTCTTTCACTCCAGCGCTGTCCTACCAGACAGTCTCGCCCCCTTCACCTGATGAAGGCCGCTTGTGTTGTGGCCGAAACGTCGTGAGAATATTATTGTGTTATTTTATTTTATCAATTTATTATTTTATTATCATTCTACGTGACTTTACCGAAAGAACCAAAGAAGATGCAGCTAATCCTATCAGACCTCGAAAGTTAAGCAGGGGTGAGCTTGGATCGTGCCTGAGATGGGTGACCACCAAGCATGAAGCAGGTGCCATGGGGATCGTGTGCAGTGGAGTGCAGTGCAGTAGCCCCTCGTTATTCACGAGGGAGTTGCTCGTGAATAGCACTTTTCATGGATAATGATATCGGCCTATGAAAAAAGAAAATTGATTACCTGAAATAAATACATCAATAAGCTCTTTAATATGTGCCAATTATCATAATAACAAGTAACTTTGTCTCATCACTTTATCTCATTGCTTTCTTTCGGTCTCGATGCAGTCGTGCAGAGCTCCAGATTAGACGTTCAACATGCTTAATGCACGTATGTTTAACGTCTTTCGCACCGTACATAGCCAACCGCGCTAATTGTAGGTGTGAGGGGAAGGATAACAAACTAAACACAAAAATAAGTTCTTCAGAAATTCGTTTTAAATCCAGGTACGCAAGTGCATCGCTCCAGTGGCTTCCTAATATCGGAAGGAAGAGCGTTCCAGACGGCCTCAGAAGCGCATCTGAAAGCGCGCAATGCGGCGACCGTCTTTGTTCAATGGCCAGCCAAAACACGTTGAGCGATCCCAACCCCTCAGTGTCCGGTCACCCGTCAGTCTGAGCAGACTCTGGCCTTCGGTCCCCAAAGGGTGTTCAGAGGAGTGGTGGTTGAAAACAAAGCAATGGGTGATATTATTCAGTGTTGGGGCCCAAAACCCAACAGGCAATTTCACCCCGATTGTCTGTGGTCAAATGTTTGTAAATACAGACCGGACCAATGTCAGTGTGAATGAAACTGGGCAGTAGGGCAAATGTCACTGATCCACATTTGTCCTTTGGGGCGGGGTAGGGGGGGAAGAAGGGGGAATGGTTCTTGGAATTGGAGGATGCGAAAGGCTGCCACCACGAGGCGCTGAGTGAAGCGCACTTCGACAAGACACCAGAAAGTAAATTTAAAGGCCCCCGGTTATTTTTGCCTCAATACGATACTCAAACTGTAATGCCTGTGATGCTGAGCGCCTCCCATTTTATTTTTGAGTCGGATAGCAATCCGCGGGCGTCAGGGGAAAAAAAAAATAAAGACACACGGAATGCCTCCGAAATTAGACATCTCGGAGCAAGTCGGGAGCAAGCCTGCTCTCCACCAAAATGAGCCATCAACTTGAACACAGATGCAAATGCCATTCCATCCAACATTAGCACCAAACGTCACTTATCACTCCGTGGGTTTTACATGATTGCACCGGCTAGCTCTCAGACGTGTGTTGAGGCTCGTGCACTCCTCCTGTCGAAAACTTCCCCTTCGGTTTCTGGAGAAGCTCCCAGCAGGCGTGGAGTGAATCGCAGGAGGACATCGTGTGCTAAAATACTCTCGCAGCACAACCTGAAAACGCGCACAAGAGATCTATCGAAACTACCAGCAATCTGTTAGGTTATATTTTTTCTTGTTGGGTGGTGTGTATGGCACGAAGGCATGCTTTATTTAGGAGTATTGAGAGTAACTTTAATGTTGGACATTGACCAAGCGTTCCAGGTCCTGGTCTTTTTTTGTTTGAATGGTCTACTTGTTGGAATTGCTTCGGCTGCAAGATTTATGGCACTGTGCCTACGACAACGAGAAGAGAATGGCAAATATGTCATTTGCTGTTATTTTTGCGTTGGCCACTTGCCCAAATAGAGACACGTAATAGTTGGCAACCTCCACATGCGAGGAATGATCACGCACACCAGTATATCTTACACAGTTCCCACTTCAAGCACAATGAATGGGTTCTTACAAAGTGTGAGATGCTTCATTTCTCTGTGACAATAACCATTATAACTTGATTCAGGCTTGTGTTTTCACACGTTTGAATGCTTTGAAATTTTACGCGGTACCAATGTGGTGGTTTCACGTTGAAAGAGTGTCATCTCTGTGTTGGGAATTTGGCATATTGATGAATGCTTTCAAGTATTTGCCTTGAGGGCTATGAAAAACTACGAGTCAGTTTCAAGGCAACTAAATTATAGCCACAGAATCTGACGACCATAACATTTAACAGAGGCATCATCTGGGCTTTTATAGTAACCCCATACAGCAGGTCAGAGAGATGAATAACAGAGCCCAATTTGTCGCAGTGTGTAACAAATCCTCCATTCTTCTTGTAATTCCGTTTCCTTGAAATCGACCGCGGACGACTTGCATTCGACATCAGCAAATTGTCAGGTTATTTCACGGCAATATTAGAATACTTTCTAAGCAGGGATTTTATGATCATTTATCCCAAGAGCAGTGCTCTCCTACTCGCTCGTGAAGCATAATAAATAGGCCTGTGACGTCAATTCCTGCGCTAAAGACGATGCATCGATTACTTTTTTGGAGGACTGATTGTACGCGACTTGTGGCCAATTTCGAGTGGATGCTCCGCTTAATCCTGCAATTGGGAAAACGGAGTAAACATGCATATAGGACGTGACAAATGATAATAATTTATTGTTGAGTTCAACCGTGATCCCGCATCGGGGCATTTAATTTAATTTCACGTGGGGATGGTGAGTAAAGCTAAAAGTGCGGTCCTAAAATGTCTTGCTCATGCCACTACCGGTAGAAAGGTCTCCACTAGATGGAGCTCAAGAGAAGCCCTCTGGAGCATGTTTTACCTACTCTCCCCTGCTGGCCAAACAATTTTGGAAGAGGAGGGAGTACCCACACTTTACCCCACCGCATTTGACCTGCAGATCGATTGTCGTGTCCCCATGGGTACTGTCGGGTGGACAAGGGCACAGTGATTTATGAAACGTAACCGTTGTTGCCACTGTCACGCCAGTAGATCAAGTCCAGTGTGCCAACCATGACACCACGACAGCATCCATTGTGGGATGCCACGGTGGCGAGATGTTAACTACCTCCCCTGGTAAACAGGAGGTCGTGGGTTCGATCCCGACCCTGCGTTTGCACGTTCTCCCCGCGGTCGTGTGGATTTTTATTCGGGTCTTCCATGTTTTTCCCTCCGCATTTAGAATCAACATGAACGTGCATTTCGAGTGTTTGGCTGCTATACATTTCCACGCGATTAGCCACTTGGCTGAGCTATCGTCACCCGTGGCCACGTCGCTTCTGAAAAAAGAGCTACATAGCTCAGCGTGCCTTACCTGATTAAAAAAAACATTTTTAAATAGTTTAACCCGAACAAAGGGGGCAGTGTCGTTGCGCGTTGTTGTCATCCGTGATGGCGGCGGTGACGTCGTTGAACTGTGACGCAGGCTTTGACCTCATGGAGCGGTTTGAGCTGCTGGACCAATCGGCCCTCAAGGAAACTCGGGGCCCGAAGGGACACACGTCGCTGCGCCTCGGGAGTGTGCCGCTCGTCCAGCTGACCGAGTAAGCCGCCCGCACTCCTTGTCCCCCTGACCGCTCGTGGTCAACCTCGCAGCGGCGGCGATGCCGGCGGCTTTGGACCTAACCCATTGGACAAAGAGGGCGGTCACGGCATCGCCGCGCTCTTTCGGATGCGCTTTTGCTGGCCGTCTGGAACGCTCTTCCTTCCGATGTGAGGAAGCCACTGGGAAGCTATGCACTTTTCAATCATCTGGATTGTCAAACTAATTTCTTGAGAACTGCCTGTTGTATTTAGTTTGTTGTCCTTCCCACACACCTCCGATGAGCACGGTTGGCTACGTACAGTGCGAAAGAAGTTCAACATAAATCTTGACTTAGATGCTTTCGTGACTGCAGGAATTAATATTCCTGGGTCTTTCGGTAAAGTCACGTAGAGAGTTTGAAAAAAGTGGCGTTTTTTTAAATTATTATTATTTTAAAAAACAATGCTTTTTTAAAATTTTCTTGCTTTGGTTTTCACACCTGATGATGATTGCTTGTCTTGCAGTCGAAACGTCGTGAGAATTTTATTGTTTTATATTTTCATTATTTTATTGTTTCCCTTCTCCGTGACTTTACCGAAAGAACCAAGAATATGAATCCCTGCAGTCACGAAAGCTTTCAATAAAAATTTCACGTAGAGAGGTTCAAAGAAAATAACAAAAAATAACAAAAATCTACGACGTTTCGATCGCAACACAAGCATTCTTCCTGATGACGAACGCTTGTGTTGCAATCAAAACGTCGTTGTTTTTTGTTATTTTCTTTGAAGCTATCTACGTGATCATCATTGGACCTCCTTTGCCTGTACCAAAATATAATAATGGGGTTTTTCCCCTTTTTTCTGGCAACAAAACTGAAACTTTTTTTTACAAGGATTCATGTCTGCATTAACCACAATACTTGCAGTCAAAATGCAAAAAAAGCTGTCATCTTGTGTGGACCAATCAGTTTCAAGGACAATGCATATATTATCAGTGTGTTTTTTTTGTTTTCATTTGACTGCAAGTATTGTGGTTAATGCAGACATGAATCCTTGTAAAAAAAAAGGTTTCAGTTTTGTTTCCATAAAAAAAGGGGGAAAAACCCTATTACTATCTACGTGACTTCACCGAAAGACCCAAGAACATGAAGTTCAACGTACACTCATGTATGTGGTGGCGGTGGGTATAGCGCACGCAGGGAAGTGCAGGGGGGGGGAAAGTTACGCCTCAGCTGACATTTCATATATCTCTTCTCTCTTTCTTTCGTATGGCATTTCAAGAATAACTGACAAAACATTAGAACTGTGCATTGCGTTTGGTAATCCATTTGATGGCATCGGGAGTCTCTTGATTTATAGCGTCCGTACCTCCAGTGGGTTTAGCGAATAATGGGGGAGTGGCAGGCTACTGCAACGACACAACTAGCGGTTCGCCACCCGTCCGTGCACATTTAGGGGCAACTCTTTTCCACCCTCCGTTTGCGAAGGAAATAGCAGCTCCCCCCCCCCCCCCCCCCCCCCGCCGTGCGTCGTTTCGATCGCTGCTAAGCGCAGCCCATTTTATTCTAAGCAGGCTAAAGAACAGCGCTATCTCGATTCTGCGTCGGGCCTTCGATGATTTCCTGTTTTGTATGACGACACGGGTTCACGGTTCACCACGAATGAAACATGCCAGGTTTGTGGTTCACCAAGGGAAGGTGAAAGTGTCTCTGCCGTGCCGTACCGTGAATCTGACCGTCCGCACAATCAATTTCCCAGAGTTTTTCCGCCAATACAGCGCCAACTGTGAGATGTACTCGCTGGCCCTCCCAAAAAAAGTCAGGAGACATTATTTTAGTAAATCACGTAGGGTGATTTCATTTAATTTGACAAGTGTTAAAACTGGATTCCAATAACATAAAGCATGCGTGAATTCTGTTTTGAAATAAATGTGAGACTTTGTTCTTAAGATTACAGCTGCCTTCTTCAGCCCACATAAAAATTCTAACTAAAATTGTTCGTGTTGCAATTTTTTATTCCATCTTATAAATATCATCTGAAAAAGGAAGAAGAAGAAGAAGAACCATAGATATCAATAATGATAATGGATAAAATATAAACTTAAACAATAAACTATTAAAACGTGTTAATGCCAGCATTCAAATAAATGAAATAGCCCTGTGTTCCGGATGTTGGGACACCCTCTATATGGTGCGATATAGCTACGTGATAAAAGTGCCATCCGTGTTCCAAACTAGGTCCATTTTGTGATCATTTTTTTATTTGCTAAGTAATATATATGAAATCGTAAACTCAATAGGTAAAGTTCGAAATAAATACCGATGATCCATTGAATTTTTGCTTTGCAAAATTGTCTCTGGAGTAACTGCGAGGAATTTTCACAGCTCTTGTAATGATTTCCCGTGTAAATTGTAGCATGCGCGTTTGAAGCATTATACATTGTAAAGTTGCAATCATTAGTCAAATTACAGTTGAGTCAACTGAACTTGGTGAACTTTTAAGCAATCTTACTTCTGCTGCAAGTACAGCAGTGCCCAAACAATTGCGATCACAATGTGAAAATACAATTACAGAGTTATGGGAGATTGATATCGCGATAATCGCCAAAACATGAAATCTGATCTCGTACAGTATTGTGGAATAAAAAAAATCCCCACCATTGCAGAAACCCTCAAATTTCCCATCTGCTCAAGGGCGTTGACGTTTCCCCGCCCCCACCCCCCCCCCTGGTCAGCCCGTGCATCTTGGGAGCTTGCTGTGAACGTGCCAGACTGAGAACAGCAGACATTACATCACCGTAGCGCTCTTCGTGGGGGTGATTTGAAGCATCTGCACAGGGGGGCAGGGGCGTTGGTGGTGGTGTGGGAGGAAGGCGTGGGGGAACTATACAGAGTGCTAGGTAGACTGTGAAGGCTGCCAGTTCTCAGAGTCAAATGTTCCACTCGCACGCCTCCTGGGTAATGAAGCACATGTTTGTGGTGGCAGACAGATTGCTCCTCAAGTGAACAACGGTCTTCGGGCTTAGCCCGACAAAAATCAACTTTCACAATGTTTTATTTTTTATTTGGTGCAGGTAAATCCAATAAAAATGAAAACAATGCTACGTTGTCCACGGAAGTAACAGGTCTGAAAAATGGATTTGCCACACTGTAACTGCGTAATCAAGGGAGGAATGGCCCGTGAATCACCGAACTTTGAAGCATTTATTTATTTTTTCAAGTGAATAGTCACGATGCAGGGAACTGTGAGTCATAAACGCAGTGTGACTTTAAAGAGTGCCCGCTGTGAGTTGAGCGAGGCATATTCATCCGCAACGTGCAATGTGTAATATTAGGAAACAACTTACAGCCCTCTTCGTCAATCCACTGCTGGATGAAGCCCTCCCCATGCAGTGTCCGGTCATGGTAGTCGTTTGACCGTACTTCCCAGTGCTGGTCAGTGTGTATTGGTGAAGAGGAGGAGGGGGGAGGACGGGGAGTGTGGGATTAGTTTAGAACTAGACGAGGACTACTTCGTAAGTTACTTGCAGTCATAGCCAGAATTCGAACTCACCGGGTTTACAGAGCAGTCCTCCAATGCCCCTCCCCCGAAATGTAATGCATAACACACACACCAATGTAGAATACAAAGACAAAGACCCCCACCGTGTAGCCTTAACAGGCTGTTGGGGCACCTATGAAGGCCGGCACAGCACACGAGGGGGTGGGTGGCCAGCACCAAGCCCGGCCGCCTTTGTCTCCCTGGTGGCGATATTTACATGCCGCACAGGGGTACTCAATTGAGGCTGAGTCGACCGAGGGAAGGCCCAGAACGAGTTCAAATAATCGTCACCTGTGTTGGCCGTGAGCGGAAATTGAACTCGGGTCGCCGGGTTCGTAACAGCAGCGCGCTAACCGCTGCACCACCACTCACAACCCCCCACAGGCTACAATTGCATTCTCTCCGTGCGTACAATTTCGGGTACGATGTGGGAGAATGGACACACTCGTCCTCCCTTCCGAAAGCGCGTCAAGAGATGTTTCGCGTTTACAGAAAGGAAGGCTTAACGACTCCTGTGGATTTGTCGTGGTGAGTCCTGCTGTACGGCTGGTGTAGATGGAGAGCAACAACTACAATTTCACATTCAGGTGGTCAAGCCACGATGTCTCGCGTCGTGTTTGTCGATCGGGAATTACAGGAGAGGTTTTGTGCATTAGGTATCGACATCTGTAATGGTTTGTGCAGTGGAAGCGCTCTATGGTGGACCATGAGCTTCGTGGAACAGCAAACCCAGTGGGATATTTTAAGTTGGGTCTTTCGCAAGCTTGAATCGTGTGCGCACGATTGACTGGGACGCAAGCCTCTCCGCATCTTCAATTTACTCTCCCCTTGTCCACCCCTGCAATTGCTTGCTCATGCCGCTGCTGGCGAGAGGGGTCCTCTAGATAGCCCCCCCTTTGGAGGGTATATTGGCCTACCCTTCCATCGTAGCCAGATTTCTCGAAAGGAGGGTATGTATGTGTAAGGACATTAGAGTCAACCTACGGTGTGAGTGAACTAGTGGCCACGCGAGGTAATTATCAGGGGAGTCAGCCTGTTGTACGAATGGACTGGTGGCTATGGAAGAGGACGGTGGAGTCTGCTGTTAGAGCGAGCGGTCTAGAACCAGCGAGAAGGTTCGGGAATGGGGGCGTGGCCTCGGATCTACATAAGGAAGATGCGCAGGAGACTCGGGGCTGTTGCAGTGGGGGGGTCTCCGCCTGTTCGAGTGTGAGCACGTGGCTCCTTAAATAAAGAAACCATCTCAAGAAAAGTGCGACCGACTAACTGTGATGCACCCATTTACACCGCTGGTTGGACACGTGGGTGGGTGGGTGGTTTGGGGCGATGGGGGCGGGTGGACTTAAGAAACCTGCCCCTATTGTTTCAATCGTTTCGCGGCGAGACCAAATCAAACCCGCGAAATCTGCATTGCAAGGCGGCCAGCGTATTAACCATCACACCACGGCCATAGCCCCCCCCCAGCCCCCCACGCAACTTTACCGGCTGAATCGGTGTGCAACAGCAGCGGCAGCAGCAGCGGCAGCAACAGTCGAATGGAATATTTTTTGTTCGCGAAGAAACCCCGTTCAGGAAGTCTACAGTCTGCGTCAGATTTCTCAACCGAAAACTCCCACGTTTTAGTTTCTCAAGTCGTGTCTGCAAACAAAACCCCAGTGATTCAGACCTTCGCTGGGATGCACGCCAGATGCTTTCTCGCTCGCTGTAAATCTGATTTTCACCCCCCCCCCCCCCCCCCGTTCACTTCTTTTGTGTGTAGCTCTCGCCCAGAATGAAAATTGAAGTTGACTGCGGTGAATACGAATCCCGATGTCATTGAGCTTCCAAAAGTGACCGAGTGAAAATTTTACTTTGATTCGTGTGCACAGCCAACAGTTACAAAGCACTGCGCTGTCACGTCCGAGATTACGTAACTTCTTCCGATAAATTGTGAAGTTGCTTTAGCCATCCAGCATGGCTGTGGCAATTCCTTGGCAGGCTGTCTATTAGTTATCTAGGGGCGGCATTAAAGTGTTTCTTTTGTGACCTGGTATCTTTGGGTTCATTGGTCTTGGCATGCATTTTCAATTACATTGCCTCTTTTTTTGTCTGTGCATTTCTTTCCCAGGCATGTCTTTCCACAAGGTCTCCCGGATGAGTACACGTTCCTAACGACATTCAGATTCAGAAAAACTTCAAAAACAGATGACTGGTACATCTGGCAAGTCATAGACAAGTACGGTATTCCACAGGTGCGTAGCACAAGTTGCATCTTCTTGGGTGTTGTTTCACCATACACACACGCACGTGCGCGGCGTTTTGAATGTGTACGGAATAATTTGCCCACGGAGCACGTGGCAAATATGCAACGAAGTTGATTAAAAATAGCTCACCAAATAATGCGGCATGTGAAATTAAAAACAATAATCATTTCCAAGATTCTGCGTGTTTAATAATTTCACCAGATGCACTGCACGTGGCAAATATAACGGGGAGTATTTTTTTGTTGTTGCTCCATACATATTCCAAGTGTAATTAAAATCACTGGCTATGTAAATAGCCCCGACCAAAAAATGTTTAAGTGGAAATACCTTCCTAAGTTGTATTTATTCAAGTAAAAACATTTATTTTAACATCAGGCACAGCTGACATCCTGGTGATGACAGTTGCAATGCAACGCTGTATCGCCATCTCCAAACACTAAACAGGGTCATCGTCTTAGCACTTAGATGGGAGGCTTGGGCTTTGAGGTGGCCAGGAGATGAGAGTACAGAAATAGATTCTTAAAAATATTTTGTGTGGAGCTTTGACGTTTACAACCTCAATTGCGTGGTGGATTTTTCCCCAGGTGTTCCAGTAATCCTCGCACGAGCCAATGACTCATGCATGCAATTGACGTAATGCAACCCCCCTCCAATAAAAAAAAATTCTGAGACTCAAGTGAGGTTTTCTTGGGTAACTAAATGGCATTTTTATTTATTGTATTTTTATACGTTATCCCCTTTGACCAAACCACCTGGAATGCACCCGATAACGTCAGATCTCGGAAGCTAAGCAGGCTCGGGCAGGGACAGTGCTTGGGTGTCAGGTGTTGTAGCGTGCGGGGGGCTGTGGTGAACCTGTAGGGAGCAGTGTGGCAAAATTACTCGCTTGCCTGCACTCCTATGCTCCCGCATCTATGGTCTCCCCGCTATCACTGCCGCAGTGGCGAGCTGCTAAGTGCCTCGCCTGCTATGCAGGAGGTCGTGGGTTCGATCCCGACCCTAACGGCTGCTGTTGTATATTTGGAGTTTGCGTGTTCTCCCCGTGGTCGCGTGGATTTTCCTGCCGGTCCTCCGGTTTTACCCCCCTCCACATTTCGAATAAACATCGCACGTTGCGAGTATTTTGGCTGCGAGTATTTTGGCTGCGCCCGCGACGATAAGCCACTTCCGTCGAGCTATCATTTGCGATAGCCAGGTCGCGAGCTACACAGCTCAGCGGTCGAACAACCCCCCCACGGAGGTGCCCCCGCATCCAGCAGTGGAACTGACGACGGGCTACACATGGGCCTGGCCCTTCCTTGTACACGGTGAGAGTGTGTGTGCGGACGCCACCACCCCCCCCCTCCATACCCCACCCCCACCGCAGGTGTCCATCCGGCTGGACGGCGCCAACCGCGCGTTGGAGTTCAACGCCATCGGGCTGCTGAAGGCGGCGGTGCGCGCCGTGTTCCGCGGGCCCCAAGTCTCGGCCGTGTTCGACCGCTCGTGGCACAAGATCGGCGTGAGCGTGCAGCAGCGCACCGTGTCGCTCTACGTCGACTGCCACCTCGTGGGGGCCTCGTCCATCGAGGAGCGCGAGAACATCGACATCGTGGGCAAGACGGTGATCGGCAAGCGCCTGTACGACAGCACGCCCGTAGAGGTGAGCGCCGTGCCGAGCCAGTAGCCCCCACCCCCACCACCCCCCGCCACCTCAGCTGCGCTGCCCTAGCGGTGGAGTACGGAGAACGTCCGAATGCGGTTCGAGCCCAGCGTGTCGCCCTGGTTAATACCACGCGTTTAAACCATGTATGCATGACACCTGCTTCCCAGCAGTTTCGCCGTCCTTCCCCGCACCTCTGATTAGCATAGTTGGCTACGTACGGTGCGAGAGAAGTTCGACATACATACACGGGGCGTACATACAACCGCTTCGAAACGGCCGACAAATTATAGTTACCTGTCACGACAAGCTTCTGAGCCACGCTAATCAGAAGTGGACTGCTAGCTGACTGCACGGACGGCGAGAGGAATGGCGTTCCGGATTAAGGGGGACTGCTCAGGAGAATGAGTGATGTCCCATTGAGCGAAGGATGGGAGGGGGGGGGGGTTGTTGATGGAGTGGAGGGCGTGTGCTGGAGGGGAGTAGAGGTGAGATCAGAGGCATATCACCAAGGTTCCGCCTTCCTGTGAGCCACCCTCTTTGTGGGCGATGGGAAAAATTGTGCGGAATTTGTAAAACGCAGGGACCGGATCGCTGTGGGCCAGCGCCGCACGCTCGGCGCTGCGAGCGTCTCCTCCGCCGCGTCTCGCTGAGGCACGGCTGAGCGAGCCTGCACCCCGACTGTGGAGTGAAGAAAGAGCGGGCAGGAATTTCACAGTTGCCGTAACGCTCCCGCTGTCTGCTTATCTGTTTACGCTGTGGCTTTTGGGAGACACGGCACGGCAAAAAGTCTATCTGATGGGGCGGGGGGGGGCGGTTTATGCCGCAGGTAATTCCGATAAGCGTAATTCAAAAAAATCAGAATCAGAATCTTTATTTAGACTGGAGGAGGAATTCGATGAGCTAAGAAGCTGCTTTTTTCACGGACGTCCAGTATGGGCACGTCAGCAAGTTACAACAGCACAAGATCGGCGTGAGTGTGCAGCAGCCCGCCGATAAGAAAAAATACAAAGAATGATAGGATCGCAAAACAGAGAAAAGGGTAAGCAAGTCACTAGATTTATGAATGAAATTAAAAAAGGAGTTTTTGGACGCATATCGAAATAATTTTTGCCCATGATCCAGCCTTTTGTAGCCAACTGGCACAAAACGCGATCACCTCCACGCGTTTTTGCTGAAGCCCCAAAACCCAAGGAATTTGGGGTGGGAGCCATAGTTGGACAGAATGACCTGGTAATTGGAACTACTGTGTGTGGGTCCTTTCTCAGAACTTGAGCAGCATCATAAAGAGAAACCCCACAGATACCTTTGACCCAGGTTTCCTTTCCAGCTCTCTGGCAGTTACCAAAACAGTCAGCTCAAAAGCTCGGAATGTGCTAAATTTGAGTTCATTAGAGCCTGCTTTTAGCTGATGGTGCAGTACGTGATGACCCTTTTGACTGGGTGTTTGACTTTTAAGCAGTTCATCTGTAACAGCATAGCGTCCTTGTAAGCCACACGGCTGGCTGAAATTCTTTATTGCCTTTTTTTTGTTGCCCCAAATGGCATTCCATTGGAGTCCTACTTGTGCTTTGGTCTGTACACTCACCTTCAGACAAATATTGCTCTTTGACCTCGGAGAATCGTGTTTCTGCCTTCTCCCGATGCTGGTAGTGTTTGTGCTTGGGTGCGTAATGCTTGCGTCGCTGTACTCTGAAAGAGAGATAACAGAGGTGGGTTTGTATGGCAGTGTAAAAAAATATATTTAGAAACATCAATGACTTCCATCTGTCTGTCCATATACAAAATATAGGATTAGTTCATCAGTCTTATGGAGTGATGTTATCCAGCAGCGTTTGATTTAAAACAGGAAGGCTCTGGAGTGGATTCGACCTTGTACGTTGAATTTGAGGAAGCCTAGTCATTCCTTCGTTTATTTATCGTCTATATGACTCCTAAACAGTGCATAATACATGATGATAGCTGTATGCATCATAACTTGCGTGAAGTGCTGAGCTCCAGAAAATATTTACCCACCCAACTCCCCAGACATCTGCGGCTGCGAGAATGGGGTCTGCGATGGGGTGTGAAGCTTCGGGGGGAATGGGCACCCCAGGCAAAAAAATATATTCCCTGAGAAAATAATTAATGCGTGCTTGTTTCGTACCTTATTGTATTATGACTACAATTTTGACTTGAAGCTTTCGTGACTGCAGAAACCCATACTCTTTGGTTCTTTCGGTAAAGTCACGTGACTTTACCGAAAGAGCCAAAGAGTCTGACTACCTTATTGTATTACGAGGATAATACAGTTAGGAGCGCACAAGTCATTGTAACTAAGCACATAATTAATTGATAATGAGAATACCGTAATCATTTTAATGCTGTGGCAGTTCTCATAAACTCCCCGCCCCCCCCCCCCCCCCCCCCCGTTACCCACACACACACACACACTGTTATTCCTCTCACTGCGCCGTCTGTCTAAACGTGCGATCACTTCTGTATGCCCGTCTGCCGCCACCACCCCCCCCACCCCTTCCTCCACCACCTGCAGTTTGACCTGCAGAAGATGGTGATTTACTGTGACCCCAAGTTCGTGGAGGCTGAGACGTGCTGTGAGCTGCCGGGAAGCCAGGTCGGGGGACCCCTGGACACCTTCGCCCGTTCCGCTGCGATTAATCGCGCTCGCCCTCTGATCTTCCCGCAGCTTTCACCAAAGCTCTGGGGTGCACAATGTCCATTGTCGTGGATTATATTTTTTTTTTCCCCCCCCCGGAGTCACTCACCGTTCACACGCATTCCATCACGCCCCGCCCCCGCCTCGCCGCACTGCATGGGATAATGGCAGGGCATAGTCGGTGTCATTATCAATAGAGGAACTCTCTCGTGAATGATATAAGGCGCGGGTTATACCTTCACCGTGAATTAAGTTACTCGTGGCGACGACGATTTATGATTATGATAGTGAAAATGGTTGCTTTGACATCACTGTTTGTGGTGGTTGTGGTGGTGGTGGTTATCCGTGGTGGAACTGGTTATTCAACATCGATCCCTGAATTAAATAATCTATTAAAAGTCATTATACTTTTCATAATGCACGCATCGAATTGTGCATTTTAAGAATGGATTACTTGAGCTTTGTAACCTCGTGTAATCGGCTCGTGGTAACGCTGCAGCTTTCATGCGGCAGTGGATTTATCGATGCTCATGATTTTGATGATAGCCAGGGCTGTCCATAGAGGGATGCGGGACCCGGGGCAAATCCCACCGTGGGTGCCCCCCTCCCCACCTCAACGCCTTCAAACTTAACCGGAAGTACCACATCTGACACTGTGACGTCGAAGCGTTACGCCCCCCCCCCCCCCCAAAGCTCGGGGGGCCCCTCGCCATCTACCCTAGGGACAGCTCTGATGATCAACTATGGGAAGAGACTCTACGCCAGTGGTTATTAATCTTTACTGCATCCTCGCGTCCCTTTAGTTCTCGATCGTAACACAATAACAAGTGTAATGTTGATAAATACATAGGGGGTTTGATGAAACAAAGTAGTTGTACCTAGGTGCCCGTTCTTAATTTGTGTTTTTGATGATTTACCTTCGGACAAAAAAATCTGTCCGTTTCTCGCACCCCCAGAAAGGGCATCTCGCACCCCCAGGGGGTGACTGCATCCCACGTAAGAACCACCGCTCTACACGAACAACCGAAGACAATAACTAAAAAAATGTGTTCTTGATTCAGATTGAGACCCCAAATGATTACGGTAGAATTTTGGGTGGTGTAGGAGGAGCGGTGAATCAAGTGGTGATACTTAGGCACAAGCAAAGTAAGCAACAAGCTTAGAACTCCAAGTGGCTCAAGGGGTCCCTGATTCGTGGAAAAAAATAGGGGTGCAACAAATAGCAGCTCGAATCGAGACGCTAATCAACGTAAAAGGCAAATAACGCACAAGATTATCTTTCTTTGCTCACAGCCCTCTTCGCTCATCTCATTTCGCCTCGTTATTTTGTCCACGTGCATCATCATCTCGCTAAATTCTCTAGCCTCTTGTCTCAACATAAAAAGAGAGGAAGAGGGACCCAAAAATAATCTCCACATGAGGTACCCCCCTCCCCGACCCTCAATTGGGCGAGCACCGGCATCACCGCCGCCACCACCACCACCACCACTGGCACCACCACCACCACCACCACCGGCACCACCACCAACGACGACGTCGTTGGTGGTGAGTGCTAACACGTCGTCCCACCGTCCCCGCGTGCAGTGCGGCCCCGAAGTCGAGTTCCTGCCGACTCAAACGCCGCAAGTCCACAGAACCGTCGCGCCGACGCCCGCCGAGGGCGTGGACGTCATCACGGCCGTCAACTGCTCCTGCCCACCGGGCCCTCCCGGCACCAAGGCGATATGCCCCCTCCCCCCCCCGCCCCCCCCCCCCCCAACCCCCCTCTAGCTATGAGCACTCCTAACAATCCCACCCATGGCCCTGCAGAAGAAAAAGGCAAAAACAACAAAAAACATTTACCGTGGCGTTTCCAAAAGAAAGGCTCCTCCCCGCCGCTGAAATTCCATGCTGTGGGGCTGTAATCAAAGGCTGCTCTCCGCGAGCCGCGACGAGAGCTTTCACCTTCGCACGCCGGATGGCTGTGCGCGCATTGCGGTGGCAAGGCCCACGCTGCCTGACTGACACCACCACACAGCTTGGCTAACGGCCAGAGCAAACGTGCAAACGCGCGTTCACGCAGTCGCCGTGCCCGCTAAGTGGATGTTGTCACATCGTGTCATGCCGTTGATATATATATGTCCGTGTGCATTTGGAACACACGTGTGTGCAAGGTGAGGAGTGAGCGCATCTACCGGGGAGATGGAGCCATGAAATAATTTTGTGTATGTGGACAGACGGGATCATTAGATATGGCTACGGCTTGGGAAAGCCGGAATCCTGCAGTGGATTGATCATGGCTGATGATGATATATATACACACGTTCAGTACATCCGTTGGGGGAGTGGAGGTGCAGTGGTTCGCAGCACCACATTATGAGCCCGGCATATTGAGTCTCATTGCCAAGCCACTGCCAGCATCGGTGGCGAGTGATATATGAACCTGGCCAATGTTCTTGTTCATTCCGGTTCGTGTTCTTCACCATGTTATTTAATCCATACCAACCACTGTTTTTATTCAGTATATAATAACAATAAACTATATCGCTTCACCAGCTCCGCGCTGACCATCGTGGTGACGAACACCCAAACAACCCCCATGATCCACGTGGTGTAGAGAGGCCTTCATCTAGGAGTCAATTGACACAGGGCTCTACATTTTTAGTAGTACATGATTACTACTGTGTTGAATAATATTTACAGTACATCCACACACAGGTAAATACATGGTCGTGACATAAATAACACGTGAGCATTTACTAAATATATTTATTTCCCAGCTTTCCAGTTCACTTATTCGAATAAGTGCCACTCGTTCAAATAGCATTTGTTTGTTTTTTAAATCAATAGGCTGGATAGAAGTTCGCATACGTCTTTAAAAAAAACATACGCTTCTTGAATTAAGTTTCAGAGAATCAAGTGGATCGTTACCTCGCAGGATCGAGTGAGGTGGCGGTCGCTTCGGAGAGGCATTCACACAGCAATGGATTGATCGTGGCCAATGCTAAGGATGACAGAATAAGCATCAAGGTCAAAATAAACTAAAATGTGATGGATCCCAGGCAATCGCAGATGGCGACGATTGCCACGTGAGGACGCCGCTGTAGACGCAGAGAATAAACTCACAGCGGTACGCTATTCCGCTTTTAACAGCAAAGTGTGTACATACCCTTCATTGTTAAATAAAAAAACAACGGCAAGTTTACTGCACTCGTTTGAGTAGCATACAGAGCAAGTTTTGACTGGGATGAGTTTAATTATTTTTGCCTGCTTCCGAAGAGAAACTCGTTGGATTTTTTTTTAAAGTTGATTTTGTGTTTTTAAGAACGACCGTGACTTTTTTTGTTATTTGTCGACTGAATTGTTACCCGAAGCACTAAAAGTCAGCCCGAGGTACAAAACGCGGACAGTTCACGAGTGTCAGCTGTCGAGTTGAGTCTGCGTGCGCGTGCGAGTGTCGCCACGGAACCCGATAATGGCCTGACCTATTGTCATTACCAGCAGGAAAGGGGCATTAATGATCCTTGTCTCGCAATGATACCTAACACCTGCTTGGAATTTCATTTCACTTCACTCAGGGTGAGCGAGGCGATGGCGGTCTCCAAGGGCCCGTAGGACCAAAAGTAAGTCAGGGCGTGTGTTGTTTTTACTTCTCATATTTGTAAAACTTGGCAGCAAAAAAAAACCCCCACATCCGTAGCTTAGCTACTGTACCTACAGCAGCAGCATCAGCAGCAAGTCAATTCTGTAAGCGATGAGAAAACCCCATTCGACTGCAGAAGAACAGTGCGAGCCGGAATGCCATGAGTTTCAAACAATACGCAGAAAGTGTAAAGACCTCACAGCCATTGTGCGTATGAACAAACTATCCGGATTCTCTGAAGAAGTGCATTGTGGCCCCCCTCGTCTTAGGTTGCCGTCAACATGAACGTAGCTACAGCCTCTGCGCATAATGCACAGAGGCTGTGCTCAATTGGTAATGCACAGGGGGGCTGTGTGATTTTTACACATTGTTGCGTGTTGTTGGAAACTTAGCAGCAGCAGCAGCAGCAGAGCAGTCCAGCGGCTACCGGCTACTCTGCCGCTTAATTGTTTGCAGATGGAATGTTCATGTTGTGCCCGTGCTGTGTTGAAGGCTAGATCCGTTTTTGTTATTTTAACAGCCCTGTTTTCCTTGAACGTGCTAAAAATACGCACTCCTCACCCGTCACTCTATCAGATTCTGTATGTGCGGGAGAATTCAATTCATCTGCTGTCCTAGCTGCGTTCGAAACTACACTTGCAGCATCTTAGCTACAGCAGCAACAAAAAAAAACGGGGGCATATCGTGGGAAGAAGGAATGTCGCGCAATCCTGGTAGAGGGGTGAACTTCGTGTAAATGCATTGTCCCGAGCGGTGTGTTATTTGTGCAGCTGCACGTTTCCCTCATTGCCCGGGACATCTAAACTCAAAGGGGGGACGTCCCGGGAAAAAAAAAAACAGGACGAGTCCAAACTCATCGGTGAGCTCGACCAGAGCGACTGCTGGATCAATGTGACACTCTTGTCTCCTTGCGCCGTCTTTTTTTTTCACACAGGGGGGCACTGGAGCACCTGGCCCTGCTGGGCTACTTGGCATCAAGGGAGAGAAAGGGGAAGCGGTAAGGGTGCTGCTCCACATCTCATGAGTTGAAGAGAAGGGCACAAACTGTGTGGGGGGGGGGTAGTGGCATTTCATTGGGTCGCGCGTACAGTTGCCGCACAAAATAACCTTCTACGATATGACATCAAATTTGACATTTCAGTTTCCCATAGCTCGATAATCTTACTTTAATTGTTTAGTGTATTTGTTGTTGCGCTTTCCTGTCGTCATTGTACGAATGAATATTACAAGCAGTCCGCCTGATGTACTTGTTTACGTGAAGACGGTTGCTTATGTTGCGATCGAAACGCCGTGATTTTTATTATTTTATTATTTTTCTACTATCCACGTGACTTTACTGAAAGACCCAAAGAGTGTGAATATTACGTTAACGTTCTATCGCTGTTCGCTTAACCTTCGCCTCCTGTAACCATTCGTATCATTACAATCTGTCACCGAAATACTACCCTAACAATAAGAGAATCAAATACTTCTGTGCACTCAGAAAATAATGATATATAATCGCCATGCCGTCAAGATCTCCGAGAAGCATTTTGCAAAGCAGTCATTATTGAATAATACCCGGTTTATTTAAATCTTTGAGTCTTGTTATTTCGCGAAAAAAACATTTTTTTTAAAGAAAAATAACACGAGCAAAGATAATTGCCACCTGACGGTATCCAGCTCAACGGACAACACAAATATCTTGGAGCTTACATTACACGATACGTCAGAGCATCGATAACTCGCGACAACCCCTGCCGTGCCTAACTGAATAAGCAACACGTTAAATAACCTTCCCCTGCACAGGCCTCATGTCCCCTGTGCTGATTCCTGAAGGCTGCTGCAGCACACACGTTTTTTTGACAATGGATCGATACGAACATTTAACTTTTTGTAAAAAAAAAAAATGTCAAACGTTACGGTAACAATAATTGATAATAACGGGAGAGGGGGTGGGGCAGTGGTTAGCGCACTGCGCTATGAACACGGCCGCCTTTGTTCGAACCCCGGCCGCGGCTAAATATCAGCGGCGAGCGATGTCTGAACCGTTGCTGGCTCTCCCCCTCCTTTACAACCTGAGCTGATCAGCGTGGCGACGCACAATCAGCCTACCCCCCATTACCGACACGGCGAGGGGAAGATTTCATCCAGCAGTGGTCTGATGAAAGGCTGTAAATTGTTTACTATTATTATTATGAAAATAAAGATCGCAGCAGCCAAATGTTAAACTTTTTGCAAGCTCAACCAAATAAATCGATGTTAAAGTTAATGTGATAAATAAGAATATCTTCCATGCTTGTAATGTCCCAGCCCTTATATGTTTCTAACCATAAAAATGTATTGTGGGGAAAAAAATGTGTCTTTAAAATGTGCTAGTTGGAAGAGTCATAGGCATCTATATAGTCAGTGGTTTCACAGTGCCAGTAAACACTTGTAATTGTAAATGCACTTGTTAAGAATATATCATTGCCAATAAAAATGTGTGTTTATATCGCTTCTATGTGTGCACATATATTGGTTTGCATGGGCCATCTACAATATCAAACTATCTGCCACTGTTGCCCATTACACCTTTAGTTTATTCAGGTGCAGCCATTTTTATAAACACTTTTTTTTTTAGTGCTGGCCTCAGTTTTATGGTCTTCATTTAAAATATTTCATGCAAACGTTAAAACGTAGAAGGTTTCAGTGGCTCCAGCGATTATTTATTTGCACTCATGCAATTTTTTTATGACAGTTCCTCGCATAGAGCAACCGCTTTACTAATATTTTCTCGTGTGTTTTTTTTCCCTTAAAGGGCAGAGTCATAAGCGCGAAAGGTGACGTCGGACAAAAGGTAGGAAGGTTTGTTTGCAAGAGTGAAAGAGCGAAATCATTTCGACTCGTCGCGCGGTATTCGCGCTCTCGAATGTACCTGTGTACGTTGAACCTCTTTCGCACCGTGCATAGCCAACCGTGCTAATTGGAGGTGCGGGGGAAAGACGACAAACTAAACACAAAATCCGTTTTACGGAGAAAGAATGACTCAGGGGCCAGGAGGAACCACCGACAAGTGAGCAAGGCAGCCACGCAGGTTAGCCGGCACCCAAAATTACTCCCCAAGCTCTGCCGTCCGTTGTATATTACGAACAAAGACTGTCACCGCATGGCCTGCTTTCAGATGCGCTTTTGCGGCCGTCTGGAACACGCTTCCTTCCGAAATTTGGAAGCCACTGGAGCGATGCACTTTTAAATCTACATTGAAAAGTAATTTATTTTCCAACTGCTTTTTTTGTTTACTTTGTTGTCCTTCACCCGCACCTCCTATTAGCACGGCTGGCTACGTACGGTGCGAAAGAAGCTCAACATATGTACATACAAACTTGTAACGGCCCTGGTTCAAAAGTGAAAAAATTAACATTTTCATCCAAACAGATTTCATTTTTTGGGGGGGGTTTTACAGTTAAAGGTATAAACACAAGTATCCATTCAGAAATATGTCAGCTTTTTAGCCCTTCAAGAAGCTAAGTAGAATTAACATCAGTCACTCACAACGGATATATAACATATAATACGTAAAATTAAACAGACCTATATTTATTCAGTCTTTATATACAGTAGGATGCCAGTAATTCACAGAGCTATGCTTGTACCCTTACTGGCATGAGAATGTTAAATCACGCAGCTGTGTGAATATTGGTGATAGCTTTCAAAAGAATTTGGCATCAAAAATTAAGTTTAGTATTTAACGTTTTTTTTTTTTACCATGGGAGAGAAAAAATTACACTCGTGATATTATTATGAAAATGCTTCCGGTCCTGTGAAAAATAAGGTGAATGGAAAATACTCTCAGACTTAAGAGCTAAACTCACTTTCAAGGAAACAATAGAATAACAGTTCTTCATTCTTGAAAGAATGTACGTATGCCTGGTATGCATTGTGGATGGGCTGCCTTTACAACCGAGGGATCAGAAGGCCAACATTTATTTCGGGGTCCGCTCGAGAGATGCTGATCCTTGATGGAATTACAGAGCATCTTTTTTTAAACGAGCACACGGCCGTTCTCACACCCTTCGAGTTTTACCAGTTCAGCTGTTGGTCTGATTATGCGGCGGCGGCGTCAGTCACTCACGTCTCTTCGAGCCAACCTCACCACCACCTTTGGCGTAAAGTTCATCGCTTGCCTCCCTTTGTCGCGGACGACTCACGAAGCGCCATTTTTCCGAGGAGATTGTAATGGTTAGCGCACCGGAATCGATGTCCAGATGCCTCTGGTTCGTTCTCCCGACGCGCGTAAGTTTAAACAATGGTAAAGCTCTCCTGAATCCCCACGCTTATTGCCCAGGCAGCAGTTTAAGTCGCTGCTGCGCTGTCAATCGGAAGGCCGCATTGAGTCGGGTAAAGTGGAGGTACTCCCACAGTTATCCTTATATATTCTCGAGAAGGGCCCTCAAAAGCTGTCTCTGGTGGGGACCCTTCTGCCAGCAGTGGCATGAGCAAGCAATTACAGGTTTTGCACCTTTACTATTTTTAATATATTTTACTTTGGGGGGGGCAAGTCAACAGCATTTGTCCCTTGGAAAGACTGCCCCCCCCCCACCCTGCTTTGGGAATTTGGAATTTTCAACACTGGCTCGAGGTTATTAATAGAGGATGAGGCCTAACTCATGCTCGGTTGGGCGAAAAAAATATATTTTATTTTTTTAGAAAATGTCACGCATAACACGGAGTAGGATTATCCTTTTGTCACAAGAACGATTGCGCACCCGCGTTTTTAAAAGTACTTTCAAGCATGCGGCCGAATCGATGCATGTCCTCGTGCGTGACGGTCGCGAAGCCACGCCAGAGGTCTTAAACGTGCGCATTGGAGCTCATTGATTTTGGCAAGCAAAAGTCAGAGGCAAACTAATATCCATTATAATCTCCACAAAACACAAGGAAATTGTGGAATATTTAACACGGCACAAAGGAACGCGGCAGGGGTGCGAGAATAAATAAAATTGGCTGGCTTTTTTGGGGGGGTTTTGCCTCAAGAATGTTTTTTGGTGAAGAATTCTGTGAACGGCATGCTAACGCTCTGTGTGAGCACTCTGCTTGACTTGTGCTGCTGCTGCTGCTGCTCGCTCTGCTAGGGCGACACAGGCCAGCCAGGACTTGCCGGTGCAAGGGGGGAAAGAGGCGCCAAGGTAAGCACTGTTGAAATACTGCCCCGTGTGTGGAACATTCCCATTTCGTGTGTGGCTTAAAAAAAAAATTCCAACATGATACCAGTCGCCCTATCAATGTCAGGTCATGTGACAAAGCATACATTATCCATAATAGATGGGGGGGGGTTTGCTAGAACGTGTAAATATAAATGTGTCGCATACATCTAGAACTATTGCAGAGCATTGCATGGCCCTGTTTTAGATAATGGCCTGTGGAAGGTGATATCCCAGAACTACTTTTGAGTTTTCTTTCATGTGACCTCTGATCCACTCCAAGCATGCTGTATTTACCCATGCACTCTGCTATGGCAGTAAAAAAACGTGAACGCTGTTATTGAATTTTCATCGTAGAATGTATTAAATTAAGTTACGAGAAAGATGTAATGATGGGTCTTTTGTGCGGTCATTAGTAACCAGGCTTAAACAATAATCTTATTACACTTTAGAACCTATTTATTAAGCGCGCTATTTATTAATTGGAAACCCAAGCCTTTTTTTATTCATGCTTGATTATCTGGGTCAGTCCATTGCATTATCTGACCAAATGTGTGGTGTTAAGACCCTCCACCACCTGATTTAGGCAAACAAATGAATTGTCACTTGGTGAATGTGCCAATTATTGTTGCGTTATTTCACCAATCAAGTTGAAGAGCAATTATCTCAAACAATTTTAGCAATTACGTGCAACGGTTAATTGTAAACTACGTCAGACATCGTCGGGACAATATGCAGAAGTAGAAATAACATTTTTTGTTAGTTTGAATGTTTTTAGAAGTCTAAGGAACCGCCCCCAAATCGTGTTGAATATTGTCCGTATGTCTTTTATATTCTCAAAAGCACTCCACCACAGTGGACGTTATGCATGAGAACGTGAATTAATAATCATGGGTGGCCCGAACCCTTGTATCGGAGTCCAGGATCTCAGTGGAGTGGTTCACTTACCACTGTCCTTTCATTCCATTTCAGTTCTTAGCGGGGCAAAATAGGTTCGGTGATCTCCACGATAAGACACCTTACACTAACGGGGCTCGCTGCTGCTGTCCTTGGCCACATCAAAGTTACATCTGTTGCTTTGTGTTGGGCTTCTGTTTATTTTGGGGTTTTTTGTTTGTCTTTGTTGCTGTAGGGAGCCTTGGGACCAACCGGTCTGCCTGGGAGAGATGGCAAAGCAGGCGAAAAGGTCAGTTGATGCTCTCAGATCATCAATCAACTCATAGAAAATAATACGAGCCCACTTAGACTAATCTTTTTTTTAAGTATGCTATATATCGTACTGGGCCTTTCGGCTTGGAACTCACTTCCCAGCACACTGCGTGCCGAGAAATTTTCAAACATCTTTCGTAAACTTCTGAAATCTTATCTCCTCAAACTAGCTTAGTATTTGGCTGCTATAATTTTCCACATGATAAGCCACTTGCTTCGTTGAGCTATCATCACATGTGGCCATACCGCTTCTGAACAAGAGCAATATTGCTCAGTGGGCCTTACCTGGTAAGATAAAAATAGGTTACTTTTAGCCTAGTTTTAATCCTTTAAATGAATAAAGTGATGCGCTGCTTGTCAATATTGTGAGTAGCGCAACATAAGTAACATTCGTATTCGTCTCCCATTGACTTGATAAGAAAAACTGCGTGGGCCTAGGCAGGACACATTGCTCGAAGTGATGAAGGTCAGTGGGTGAGACAAACTCCCGAGTGACAGCCAGAGGGAGGACGCACGCCCAAGACGACGAACCACCGGCGGGGATGGGGCGGATGAGATTAGCTTCCGTGCGGGAGCTCGATCGATTGTGGCAACGCAGGAACAAACGCCACGTGCAACTGCATGGGGAGGCCTTCATCCAACAGGGAGGAGACCATTGCTGATAATGACGATATGTATGTTGCATGTTGTTGAACTTCTCTCGCACCGTACGCCGACAATCGTGCTATCGGAGGTGCGGAAATATCGTACAATATATATGGGAATTTGTATGATGTAAGAGAGTACAGGACGTAATTTCAGTCATGTTTTAAAATCTTCTCTGGTAACGTATCCTATTTAGTTTTTTTTTCAGTTGTGTCCAACGGTATATGGTTGAGACTATTCATTCTTGGGCATATTCTGGTTTCGATGCGAAAACGATGGTCCTTTCATAGATTTTAATCTTATCGTTGCGGAATAAAACTAAATTCAGAGCATGCAAAATTTACGTCAAACGGCAGAATAATCCCGTCCCCGGTAAATTTGCAGAACAAAAACAAAGCGAGTTGTACCACTGCTAAAACAACAACAGCAACAACAAGTGGCAGTTAATTTGTCAAGGACCCTGGGTGCAAGTGACTCGGGGAACAGTGGAGTGTCTAACCGGCACCACCCGCCAACCAAAGAGATGCACAAAAGCTGCCCCAAGCGAACAGTTTAGGGACCCCCAAGTAGTTAATATATTGATGTTTTTAAAGCAGATGAGCACCAAAAATCAGCTTGAACCCAGGTCGTTAAAAAAAAACTAAAATAGCCCATCATTCTGATGACGCTGTTAAAAAATATATATTTTCTTCATAATCAGTCTGGTACACAACCGCGGTATGATTAAGTTACCTCACTTATCCCGCGTGTAACGTTTCTAGTGACGTTGGTCAAGAAAAATAACAACGGAGTGGCAGCCGAGGAATGGAATGCGTCTGAGTTGTACGTCCGCCGTGGAGATGGAGCGATAGAATCGGGTTCTACGCAGGTGGCGAGATGTTTACGACCTCGCCTGGTATACATGAGGTCGTGGTTTAAATCCTGAGTATAGTTTTGCATGTTCTTTCCGTGGTTGTGTGGACTTTACATACACGCCTGCATATTTGGAGTTTGCATATTCTCCCCATGGTTGCACGTCCTTCCCCCGCACCGCCGATTAGCAAATTTGGCTACGTATGATGCGAAGGAAGTTCAACACGAAGATTGTGCTTCGCATAAGCCTATATAAAGTCAAATACAGTAAGAGGAAGTTTTATTCCATCGCAGGATCGTGAGAGGTGGCGGTGGCTTGGGCAGGCCTTCATCCAGCAGTCGATAGGCCATGACCATTGCTGCTGCTGATGACGCACCCAAAAATAATGTCTACTCGGCGACCCCCAACCAAACGAGCTGACAGCCACAACTAGCCTTTGCGTACTGTATGCCGGCAATTTTGCGTCAGAAAGAATGGAAAGAACTATCGCGGCTGGAAGCAATTATCAGAGCGATGTTTTAAGCTTAGCCCGTCGCGCAGCGGGCTCCTATGCAGATTGAACGGTCGCCGTGGCTTGGGATGCTTGGCTGCGGGAAGCATCATCGCCGATGGGAACGGAGGGAGGGCCGTGCGTGTGTACGCGCGTACGCACGTTGAACTTCGTTCGCACCGTACGTAGCCAACCTTGCCAATCGGAGAGCTCCCGCAGCCACGGGAACGGTCGTCCGGCAAAGCTACGGCGGCACGGCGCTCGCTTCGAATTGTCCTTGGCCAGCCACCGAAATACAACGCCCAATGCGCACGCGTGTTCGCGTGGGCGAGAACAGCACGCGGCACGAGCTTCTGACTTGTACCGTAAAGCCGATGAAGGATGGCTGCGTTGGCCCTTTGATCGCCGGCTCGTCTGTGGCAGCGGATATGAATAGGTGGTGGAGGTGGCCGGCGGTGGTGGTGGGAAGGCAGTGATGTGGTTTTTTTTTCACTTACGAAAAATGCACACACGTGTTTCCCGTGCGCCGCACAAAATTCTCAGGACATCTGTAAGCACGTTGGCGGCAACAGTACGAATACAATCGTTTAATAACGTTCGGCCCTTTGTCAGTTCGGTGCTTAATAAGGGCCTCCCTGCGCCGTATTGGTTATGGGTGTTGTTTGACCATGCCGCTGGTCAGTGCAGGTTGGTCAACGCGGGATGCCATTGCGGGTTCGCTCATCGTCGCCGCTGATGTCATCCACGGGTGGGAATTGACCTCAGGTCACTCGGGTGGAGTGAACCACTGCACCAACGTTCCCACGTAAATGGTTGTACGTGTTAAGAAATATAGGCTCATATGACTAAAACTGAATATGCCATTTACTTTATATATATAAATGAAGTCATTCTCAAGACTGTAAATTCCATTCTCAAACCATTTATCATAGTAATACGTGTGCATATTTGCATGTAGACGTGTCTGTTTTGTGGGTGCTGCATTGATTTCCGCAGCGCGTGACATCAGCTCTATACCCAGCCATCGCTAACATCAGTGGCGAGTGGTGTCAGGACCTCTTCTGGGCCCAACTAGGTTGACATAGCCTTAAATGAGTACCCGGAGCGTAAACATCAGCAAATTTGCCCGGGTGTGGTGGTGGCAACACCAGCCCCTCTTCAATCACGTCAGTATATATGATTGTATGTTGAACTTCTTTCGCACCATACGTAGCCAAACTTGCTAATCGAAGGTGCGGGGGAAGGACAACAAACTAAACACAAAAAGTAATTAAGAAGAAATTAGTTTTCGATCTAGATGATTTCAAAGTGCATTGTTCCAATGGCTTCATAATATCGGAAGGAAGAGCGTTCCAGACGGCCGCAGATGCGCATCAGAAAGCGTACGATCCAGTAAACATCTTTGCTCGATGGTCAGCCAAAAGCGACTGCGAGGATGACTGGATTTCGCATGATGGTTTATGCTCCTCGACGAGATCAGCATTGCATCGTGGTTCAGTTGCGGCAAGCACTTTGTGTGTACTGAGTTGCGACCTTAACAATGTATTCTTTCGGCAACCAATGCAGCTCAGCGAGCACTGGACGGACACTGCCAGCCGTAGTAGGTGCTTAATCACTCCGCTTATGGGGGCCGCAGTCACCTGCGGGTGCCGTGGGTAGCCCGGACGCCTCCAAAAATATTAGGTGTGGCCAAGAGATAGCTGCCCACAACATTTTGGACAGAAATCGTGGCATTTTTGTCGTCCTCATTTATGCACACTCATCAACATTCGCTGATTGTGCTGTGACAACGGAACCTTTAAACGGCACAGTCGCGCATAAAAACAGCATTAGGCTCAGCACCGAGTCGGCGGGCCAGCAGTTGCGTAGATTTGAATCTGTCGCGAGGTTCAAATCTACGGAGCTGAACGTCGCGGACGCCCACCTGCCGTCGAACCAAACGGGGGAAGCATTCCGCTCGTGGGACATCGCCGGCTTCCGACGTGTGACTTCACTGCTGGCCCTCGCCACCCCACGGACCATGAGACCGCATGGGACCCCCCCCCCCCCCCCAACTTTGAACTCGTGTCCGCGCGAACCTTTGACTTAAAAGCGTGCGTTATGCTTTTGCGTTTGCACGTCGGAATTTAATGGCGGTACGAGGCTGGGGTCGGGGGCGGTGCGGTGAAAATCTCACCGTGGCTTCGCACAAGTACCGAAGTGATTCACCGTCACAGCTTCATGCAGCGACGAGACAGCCATTTGCTCATTTCTTTATAGCTGCTTTTTGTGTTTAGTTTGTTGTCCTTCCCCCACACCTCCAAATTAGCGTAGTTGGCTACGTATGGTGCAGTAGAAGTTCAACATATATACGAAAAGACAAAGATCCCCTGTATGGGCCTTAACAGTTGGGGCAAGTGCTGTTAGCAAGCACCTATGAAGGCCGGCATGGCACAGGGGGGAGTGGGTGACCAGCACTCCCTAACTGATTACACTACCGCTTCACACAACGTAGGTACACACACACACACACATTGCAACGTCGTGCGATGGGATTGTGACATTGGCCCGCACAGTTCCTATCGACGGCACCTGGCCCCGGTTAGCACGAGGTTCGCATTAACTCCGCACCCTCGCACAACAGTAATCAGGGCCGCTCCCGATCGCCATGCGGCCGTTTTTAAAATTGTCCAACGCCTTAGAACAAAAACCGCGTAATGCTACGAAGCAGCCAGCAGACGCGCCGCAGTTTTGATCGGCGAGATTCATGGATGCAAAGGTCTTGTCGAGTTGCGAGCTGAATGACCACCGTCGGTCTTCTGCGCGGGCTGCTTTTGTACGTCGGAGCGGCATGGCTCGTCGTGCGAATTCAAAGAGACGTTCTTCTTCTGCTTCCTTTTAGGGGGAGCTCGGACAAAAAGGAGAAATGGGAAGTCCTGGTGCTGCTGGCCTCAGGGTACGTATTTTGGCCTCTGCTTCCGATCGATGTTCGAGCACCGTCATCGCGTCGGGTCACAGGTTTTTGCCACGTCATCAGCAGGTGAAACATTTGCCACCTGCAAACTCCAGGGAGGCGGACACTTTCGGATTAGCCGACACCACGCGATGTTTTGGAACCAAATGTGGCTGGGGTCGTCTTCTTCACAGTTCACAGCTGCGGGCTTGGGTACAGATTTTGCTTGAAACAAAGAAAAAAAAACATGTTGGCTCACGTTCATGATCACAACACGGATCGAGCTTTATTCTGATCATACATCAAACAAATGTACGTCCAGCAGCCGTGAGCCGTACCGATAGCGAAAAGACTGGCAATCGAGAAGGGTATTTACGAACCAATTTCCAAATCTCAACAAAGCGTACGGTTAAAATCTCATTGAGGTACTTCCACAATTAGTGTAGAATCAGTGTCCAATTGGTGTACTCTTGACATGTGTTCGTTTGGGCCAGTGTGACTGCACCAGACGACGCAGCTCTCCAAGGCTGATGTACAATTGGCACGCACGCTGTATACAATTGGCATGCTGGCATTCGGCTGACAATCCCATGCCAGGGTATCATTAGCATATACCAATATCGAGATGCTAACTCCCTCGCCTGGAATGCAGCAGCTTCGTGCCATCGATCCTCGAACCTCATGATGCCTGTTGTATATTTGGCGTGGTGGTCACGTGGATTTTTCTCCGGGGGATTCCCCCGGTTATTCCCTCCACATTTTATAAACAACACGCACTCAGGTTATTTCGCTGCGACTATAAATTCCCACGTATGATCATCTAAGCCATTTCGATGAGCTCTCGAGTGTGGCCAGATCACCTGTGAAGAAGAGCCCTCGGTAAAATAAAATTGTTAATAAAAAAGGGCTTTTCGCTTTCTGGCATAACCATAGGTGTAAAGATGTTAAAAGACCAAATAGACACATACTTGTGGTGAAACATGCAAACAAACATGCTTTGATAATGAATGCGTTGTCTTCGAAACGGATTGGCCGAGACCAAGACAGCCTCTGTTATTGCTTTGTCTCACCAATAGCAAAAAGGGTCACATCGATATTAAATTGTTTAGATTTTGTGTGTGTCTGTGTGTGTACGTTTGTACGAGGTCATTTGGACCAGTGGTGCTATGCTATAGGACCCAGTTTATGTTTTTAGTGCAAGGCAACAGAGTGCTACAGGAGGGGAGGTAGAGAAGGAGGAGGGAGCAGGAGATTCACTTGTGTAGAAGCCCGGTGTACTGTGTACTATCTTGCGGTGATACTGGTGACTTGAGGTTGTTTCCCAGGCATGCTCAATCTGAACCTAGCCTGGACCTTCTTTTGATCAATTTTGCCATAAACGAGCACAGTACTTTACCTGGAGCAGTGTGGTGGGGCGTGTTGCTGGTCACTCCAACATCTTGTCTGTCTTGCCGGCCTTTGGTAGGTGCTCGCTAATAGCATACACAAAACTAGTCTGTGATGTAGCGGTGGAGCAATTTTGTGAATTGCCAATATCATGTACGTGATTCAATTCAAGAATATACGTTTTTTTATTGCAATATCGTGTTGAGTGGTAGCGCCTCGGGTATCAGAAAAGATGTTGTGAATCCTTTATTTGCAACGTAAAAGAATATAAAAAATACTATTTTGTCACACGCGATTTGTTCTGTTTATTGTGAGATTAAGAATTGATATAAACCCGTGAACCGATGCATCATACTGCCCCCTTCTATAAAACGAAAACGGAACCCGAGTGCAGCGTGTGAAATGGAGATCGCCCTGTCAAAATTTCCTGCCCCCCCCCCCCCCACACTTTGAAGCCCAGCACCTGGGCCCGCCCCATCCCATGGACCCCGATGCGGTTGTACCACCTGCACACTCTTTAGCTATGCGACTAGTGCTTGGGCAAAGACCAAATGAAGCCACTGCCATGTACAATTGCTATTATTCAGCTGAGCCGTTGAATGTGTCAGCTAAGACACGCGTTTATTTTTAAGAGACGCTCAATGGCCCCACCGCTTCTCGCCCGGCTCTCGAGTGACACTGACATTGTGAGCGTGGCTTCGTGCCTTGGCGTCACGGACATTGATGTCCATGAAATATCGTGTGCATCATGGATTGCATTATCACCATTATTTTCATCATTATCGCCAGTATTATCATCATTATCACCAGTATTATCATCATCATCACCAGTATTATCAACATTATCACCATTATTATCATCATCATCACCATTATTATCATCATTATCACCATTATTATCATCATCACCATTATTATCATCATCACCATTATTATCATTATCACCAGTATCATAATAATTATAACCCGTATTATCATTACCACCAGTATTATCATCATCATTATCACCAGTATTATCATCATCATTGTTAAGACCGGAGAGGCCAACTCTAGCACAACTGTAATCCTGAGCTGCCACTGAACGTGACACGTGTAAGTATGGCAAGGAGCCGGAGTTGCGCAGCCTGCACACTGGACAGCAACCGCCACTACAGCAGAGAACCTGTACAGAGAGACATTTTAATGTATCCATAATAGAGGGGGGGGGGGGTTGGGTTAGATCGCGTAAATATATAAATGTGTCGTTTAAACCCGCCACCACCCGACACAACCAACGAGTAGGGAGTTGTCACGTAAACAGAACGTGGCAAATTCGTCACTAGTACAGCACTAACCGGTGTGTTGGGGATCCAAGCCACAACATTTACAATCCAAGTACGACGTTTCGCCAGTAATTGCAACCAGCTTCATCAGGCGACAGCCAGATTTGTGGAGAAGTCCTCCACCTGTTCCGTTCCCTATATAGAGGCGTAGATGTGGTGACCACGCTTCTGAGCTCTTGCACAAAGTGGGGGGGACACTAATGGGTCAACTTACATTATGCCTGCGCATTATGCGAGCCCTTTGATCTTGTCCTTCCTGTCCATTGTGTGTATTGAAAAAAAGCTATATTTTTATGTATGTATGTTAAACTTCTTTCGCACCGTACGTCGCCAATCGTGCTAATCGGAGGTGCAGGGAAATGACAAATTAATTACAAAAGCAGTTTTAAATAAATGTCTTTGCATTCGAAATGATTTATACGTGCATAGCTCCAGTAGCTTTCTAATATCGGAATGAAAAGCGTCCCAGACCGATGCCGAAGAGCATTACTAAAGCGTGCGATGCAGTGGTCGCCTTTGTTCGATGGCTAGCCAAGAGCCACTGCTTGCGAGGATCACCGCAAGCGTTCATGTGGAGGTGGCTGTGTGTGTGGCCAAGCGGTTAGCGCACTGCGCTACGATCCTCGCGACCCGGGTTCGATTCCCCCTCATGGCCAACATCAGTGACGATTATTTAGAACCGGTCCTGGGCCTCTTCCCCCTAGTTCGACTCAGCCTCAAATGAGTACCCGGTGCGATGTGTAAACATCGCCACTGGGGAGACAAAGGCGACTGGGCGTGGTGCTGGCCACCCACCCCATCGTGTGCTGTGCCGGCCTTCATAGGTGCTGCTCGCTAACGGCACTTGCCGGTAAGGCTATCACGGGAACATTTGTGTGTGTGTGCGCGCGCGCGTTTCCGTGTGACTCATTGCTGGCTCACACAGAACAACGTGGGAGACGTGGGCAGCGATCGAGCGCTGGGGTGCCCCCACGGCGGCGAGGGGAGTATATTTAGAGAGTGGGGAGGGAAAAAAAACGGAGAGGGGGAAAAATAGAAGCTCCTCGGATTGAGCCACCGCTTGCCTAACATGGACAGATTCCTGGAATGCCATTGTCTAAAAACGGTGCACCGTAAATTAGACATTTAAATTGACACTGTGTGCTGATGAAGTAATTGCTGTTCTTTCAGCTGTCGTAAAAAAAACCTTTGTTGATTTGATCTTATCCAATTAAAACGGTCATATATAGACCTGCCGAGCTATATTCTTGCGAGCTAAAGACGTGCGGATTTTTTTCCTCTCTCATAATGATGACAAACACTAACAACAACGCACTCTTTGGTTCTTTCGGTAAAGTCACGTAGGTAGAAAAATAAAAATATATCACGACGTTTTGATCGCAACACGAGCGGTCGTCTTCGGGCGGAAAAAATAATCCAGCCGTGGAACTGCTGATCCGGTTCAGTGGAACAGTAGTTCCACTGCAGTTCCACTGCTGGTTCAGCAGTTTCACTGCAGTTCCACTGAAGTTCCACTGCTGGTTCAGCAGTTCCACAAAAATATAAAAACAATATCCTTTATTCGACGTTTTGACTGCAACACAAGCAATCATCATCAGGTGTGAAAACCACAACAAGAAAAATTGAAAAAAGTGGCGGTTATTTTTAACGTTAGCACCACCGAGAGCGATTTGGCAGTTATTCAGATGGACAAGTCCATCTATGTTCGGAAAAGAGGAGGGGGGAGACGAAAAATAATGGATGCGGTCTGAAGGCCACCTTAATCGTGATCAATCAATTAAGACCCGAAATGGTTTATCAAATCCTTCCAATGATTGCTAAGCCAGAATCCATCTTCTCGGTTGAAATTGTCTCTGTGTTTGTATATGTTGATAGTCTCATGAACGAATCTCTCATGGTAGCCAGATGGCTTGCAAAGAACCTCTGTCTTGGAGAAGTCAATGTCATGTGAGCCTACTGAATTAAAACAGTGATCTGCCACGGCCGAGGTGTTGGTCCTACCGTGTTTCAGGTCTGCTTTGTGTTCACGAATGCGGTCCGAGACATGTCGTTTGGTTTCTCCAATGTGACTGCTGCCACAGAGGCAACTTAGTTTGTAGACGCCTGGGTACTGTATGTCCAGAATCACATCTTTCACAGACGGAACCAGATCAAGAACGAGTGAAGTCTCGCAGCGGTCGCTGCACAAAACAACAACAGCGGTCCTTTTTGTCTCGGAACGGCGTTTCGTGCGGTAGCCCGCGTGTAGTGAAGCGTCGCTAAATGCCGGGGTTCACGTGCGCCAGAACCCGCGTGTCGTGTCGACCGGGGAGTGTCGTCGTCCTGGATCTGGAGCCTCGCGTGCGACGTTCGTGCTTACCAAGGAAGAGTCCTTTTATTGTTTTTTTTTGTCGGGAAGGCCTCTCGCTGTGTAAACGAGTGTCGCGTCAGGTTGGAGCTCGTCGCCGCGTGTCTGGGGTGTACGGTTGTTGGCTCGCGACGTCGTGGTCCGGTCCCTCCAGGTGGACCACGGGAGCCGCTGATGCGCACGCCGTTTGATGTGGAAATCACGACGACGTTTTCACACCGATGATGTTTAATTTAAAAATTAAGTTCGGTAAAACTTAACCCCGATGAAACTACTCTAACCCCTAAGCGCTAAAAAATAAACTTATAGCTGCTTTTTTGTTATTTATATATTTTATGTTCCGGTAACATGAATAATTTTGTGTACCTGGTATTTAGAGAGAGAAGTTAATGCATTTTATCACCGTAGGTGGGGGGGGGGGGGGGGGGGGGTGCTAGGTGGTCCGTGGAAATGTTTGCATCCGCTGAGCAGTTCGTGGGCCAAAAAAAAAGTTTGAGAAACACTGGCGTGCGATATCACTTTTTTTATATACGCGGAATTATTTTTCTCCTGCGGGGCGGGAGCTTGAGAATACGGCAATGGCTGGAACGAGCTGAAAGGCGAACGCAGCAGAGGTAGCGGCGTACGTCTGGAACAGGTAGCTCTTAACGGACACCTGTAACAAAGCTTCATCGGATTCCTTCAGTAAAACTCAATATTAAAATTTTGCTTGGAAGCCGGGCATGGGTTGTCTAAAATTGTTTTAATTTGTTTATGTAGCGAGACAGACATGAATAAGAAATTGTTTATCTCTTTATTATAGTCTTCAAATTGACACTGATCATTATTTTGTTGTTGTTGTTGTTGTCATTTATACATTTTTGCTCGAACTAAGACCCGTATGTTAGAGGCTACTTGCCTATCATACCTGGCCATTCTCCAGCATTGATTCAAGCAAGGTGATGAGACACTGTACGCCTTGCTGAACGTACGCGCTCCTTGAAGGCTGTGTAAAATATATATGTATAAATTATTTATGTGGAGTGACACACACATATGAAGGCAAAACATTGCCTGCTTCTCCATTTTTATACATCTGTACAGATAGCTCAGCAGCCCGTTTGCTCCTCTGCCATCTGCTGACCGCTTCATTGCCCTGCATTGATCGGGATGAATTGAACACCGATGTCGTTTAGCACGTGTTTTTGGTTGCCGCGCGTTATTTACTCGCTAGCATTTGAATGACGCTGGCGGCGATGAATGTCGAGCGGTCATTTTGAGCTCGTCTTTAAAATAAAAAAAAGAATGCGATAGAGGTGTTACGTGTCTGCCATGTGCGCCTAGAGGAGCACGCACGTGTTTGCCTGCGTGTCCGCGCTATGTTTGGCTGCGCGGTGGCGCGGAAGCACGTAACGCAACATGCCACCCCCGCTCCCCGCCCCCCCCCTCCCCCCCCCCTCTTGCGTGTTTTTCAGGGTCCACCGGGGGCGGATGGAAAGACAGGCCCCCCAGGGCTTGTGGGACCCCCCGTAAGTCACCTTTATTAATGTGTGCTTCTCTTGGCGTGGTTTTGTGCAGCACAGTGTTTCCGGGGGGGTGGGGATGGGTGGGATGTCGGTGAGACGTAAAGAGTTCGTGGCATGGGGCAGAGTGACAACCTGTCACGCCTCTGCTCTAAATGAAAAGCTGATGGAATGGGAAATAGGGGAGCCAGCCAAGGGGCAGGCGAATGTTGGTTATTCTGCCCATTCCAAAACGCAAAGGGGCCGCATTTTCAAAAATGTCGGAAGGCGAACTCAAGCTATGAGGCACGTTTTCACAAGTGCGCTCTGAAATGTATGGGAACTGTTAGAGGTGTTAGAAGGGACTGCCCGATGTTCTGAAAATGTGTGATCCGTATGTTTAATTTACTCGCTATTCATACAAAAAACTGCATTGCGGACTGATTTCCTTTTGAAATGTAAGTTGCTCCATATGATGCGTGCAATTGTGAATAAGAAAGTCTGAAATCGTCTGACATTTGTATTTTCATAACTTTTTTTACACTTCAGGGCCCCCAAGGAATACAAGGCCACGTGGGAATTGGAGGAGAAAAGGTGGGATTTTATAATCGCAATTTTGTAACATTTTCAGAATTTGTTTCTAGGCACTTAAGTTAATGACTCGCAGAAAAAATTCGAGCTGCACCAGAAATGCCTTAAATCATTGAACAAGCAGTCCTTAATGGCATTCATTGCACATCCAATTTTAAAAAGCTTTTTTGATGTGTGTAAGTACATAACTTAGTAGCCAATGTAAGCTCTGAATGTTTTTGGCTCTTTGCCAAAATGTCAAAGGCTCCCTTACCAGCTATCCTTGTGGAAACCTGCCTTTTCACATGGGTGAAATTCAAAACAAGGTCAAGTTAAAATGAAAAATGTTGAGGCCGCATTTCAAAGGGCCTTAGCAGAATCCCATTGCACGTGTTACAGATTTGCAATGCTGAATTTATTAAGCATCTCTCAAATACTCATCACCACAATACCGTGAATATAATTTCGATGCGCATTTCGTTCAGCCATGATTTTGTGTCCCTGTATACATTGCCTTACCACTTGACATCACACAAATTCAAAAACAGCGTGTCTGTCCGTGTGTTGGCCATGCCAAATTTGTTCTGAATTTAGATGAAGCATTCATCTTCCCACTGGTGCATTGGTATTTCATCCAGTATATAGAACTCAACAAGAATAGCCCAGGCCATGTATTCTGAAAGTCTTAATCACTCACTGGTTGCTCCAGATGGTGGAGAGATGTTGACTACCTTGCCTGGTATACAGGAGGTCGTGAGTTCAATTCCAACCCTGATGCCTGCTTTTTCGAGTTTGCATGTTTCTCCATGGTCGCGTGGATTTTTCTCCGAGTCCTCCAGGTTTTCCTGGCACATTTATAAACGTGAGTTTAGAGTATTTGTCTGCTATAAATTTCCACGTGGTAAATCACTTCGTTGAGCAATCATTTGTGGTCAGGTTACTTCTGAAAAAGGTCTCTATCGCTCAGTGGGTGTTACCTGGTAAAATAAAAAGTGGAGTTTTAGTTTAGTAACTGATCAAAGGTGCTTCAGCTTCGCATTGCGACAAAGGTTCGTGGGTAACAATGTTGCCGCCTTTGTTTATGGATTTGTCAATGCACCATTGGCATTGCTCGTCGGAGGTCGTGGGCAAGCGATTGCTTTTAAAATCCCTTACAACTCATCAGCAGCGCCTGTGCCACTTCGTGAACAATTATTTTGCATGTATCGGCGCAGTCATCAAATTGAGCCACGTAAAATGTGTCCTGCATGGCCACTATGAAGGCAAAGTGTTTCCCTCTCGTGATACCAACCCTGTGCGTAAGTGTGTGGCTGGCTCAACTGAAAAGAAGACATGCTCGATAAATGTTTGATCCCCACTTTTATCCGAGTCTCGGCCTGTCAACTGGAAAAAAAAAATTGTGATGTATTTCTGATTTGATGGAGACTCGTGGGCGTTCCCTCTGTTTGTGGTCCATAGTTACCATTAAACGAGCGGGTCATGACATTGTTACTCTCTCACCAAAAATACATGTCCCCTATGCTGTTAAATTACCCCCTTAGTTGAAACATTAATTATGAATGACTGCACTCATTATACTGTGTATATTTAAATATATACATATATATATTAGAAATATATTAGGAAATGAGGTGATTTGTTTAATCAGGGTTTAAACACAGAATGGTGGCGCGGTAGTTAGGTCACTTCACTCTGAACCCGGTCACCTGAGTTTGATTCCCTGCCAAAGGCAACATCGGTGACAGATCCGTCGACCCGCAGTGATCAGAGTGGTGAAGTATGGTGAAGCATGATGTTGCACACTCGAAATGAAGGACGTGGGCAGGTGCTCCAAATCGAGGGCAAACACATTTATTGTGTTTCGTTTTAAAGCTTTCGTGACTACAGGGATACATATTCTTGGTTCTTTCGGTAAAGTCACGTAGAAGGGAAATAATACCGAAAGAACCAAGAATACATTTATTGTGGTTAATCTGTAAAATGCAACAGCACGTGTGTCAAACACAGCAATTCTTCAACCTAGTTGTCATTAACCACGTGACTGGTGTACAAGTGCGGTGAATCAATAACCCTACCAGCCCCCTACAGGCCCCACTCCATTATCGCATGCTGGTGTACACACGTGCATTGATGTACTGCACAGCACATCAGGACTTTCACAGAACCCCACTTTACTCCCTTGCTGCACAAGGAAATAATTAAAAGAGTGATCCGTGCCACAATGATGTACGATGTTAAAACATGCTCTTTGGTTCTATTCGGTAAAGTCACGTAGGTAAAAAATTAAAACAAAAATCACGACGTTTCGGCCACAACACAAGTGGCCTTCATCAGGTGAAGGGACCAACCTGTCCAGCGGACAGCGTTGGAGTGAAGAAAGCCAAGCGCTGGTTGCCTCCCTTTAAGCTGTGAGGGGGCAAACAGCAAACGCCCTGACAAAGGAAATTAGCATGAAACGCACCACTGACAAAGCTTGGAATTAGCACAAGATGATAATACACCACCCTGGGAGTTTGGAATACCACTACTAGAATAAATATACTGCACCATTGAAATTTAGATTTGAAGCTTTTTTACCTATGTGACTTTACCGAATAGAACCAATGAGTATCGATCCTTGCAGTCACGAAAGCTTCAAATCTAGAATGGATGTTAAAACAACCGTCGTAAGTGACATTGCACGAGGGGTCCTTCATCCAGCAGCGCATTGACAAAGGGACTGTGAAACATTCAAATAACACACGTTGCAGCGATAGAACAAATAAGAATACTAATTTTGATAATGGAATAGTTATAATGGCTAATGAACTCACAGGAACGCACGTAAAAAAAAAACACTTGACGAGGCTGTAAAGGCTGCGTGCAATGTCTTGGTCTGCCGCTGGTTTTGACAGAACCGCAGCTTGACAGCCAAGGCAGGTAGGGAGGGGGGCCTAGGTGTGTCTCGCCACTTCGCAGCTGTAACACTGTGCCACCGCGCCCGCCGAGACAGACGCACGGCCGCTGACACGCGCCAGAGCACCCTGCCAAACGGGTGACCACGGCAGGAGGGTCTCGGCCAGACACTCATTATCCTGCCACCGCCACAGCAGCGGAGGTACGCCGCTCTCTCCCTCTTGAGCAGCAGGCTGCGGCTCAAAGGAGACATTGTGCTCGGGAGGATGCCCCTGCTGTAATCTGATATTCCGCAGAAAACGATGCATTTAGACGTAATTGCGTTTCCAGATTTTTTTTGACGCACCGTTCTCGTGCAAGAGGCGAGAGAAAGAAAGGGGGCATCGTTTCGTTGCGTCGCACTCTGTCGAGATTGCGAGCGAGAAAATGAAATTACCTTAATTACCAACGTGTGAGTTATAAAGCGCGCTCGCTTAAGCAATGCTAATTATATTCTTCGTTCCCGAAGCCCTCTGTACAGTCCAACGATGGGTTGAAGGCCTGCCTATGCCGTGTTGGTCAAAGTGGTTGTTTGACTGTACTTCACCGCGCTGGTCAGAGCGGGTTGTTGAAGGGGCATGCCCTGGACCAGTTCAGAAGTCCCTCGCCACGGGTGGTGCACCGATGGCTGAGAATAAACTCAAGTCTCTGGGTTCATAGCATGGTGCGCTCACCACTTCGCCACATATTCCACTTAGCGTTGCATTCTGTAATTCCGAAAGCATGTACAGTATTACCTCGTTATTTGCGAACTTGCTATCCCGCGATTTTGAGATAAAGTGATGACGGAGAATGTGGTGCGAGAAAGTGATGAGATAAAGTGATGAGATAAAGTGATGAAATCATGTGTATGTATTAAATCGTTTGTTTTACGCATTTATTTAAGGTAATTCATTAAGAATACATTTTTTTCTAGGCCAATAATAATTTTCCACGAAATGAGCTATTCACGAACATCTTGGGAACCTATCCCTCGCGAATAACGAGGGGAATACTGTAGAATAAAAAAAATATCATATGGTGCCAAATATGACGTGTTGGTCTGCCCCAGTGTTTTGGGATCTTGTCCAATGTCAGCTTTGTGCACGTCGCCCACACTGTGATGTGCACACCAGGTGTGTGGCATTCAGCTTCCAGTGTATGACAGATGAAACCAGCCAGAGCACAGAGGCTACAGTTTAAAAACCCCATTAAAATATGGGAAGCAGTTTTTTTCTCTCTCTCTCTCCAATTTCTGGACCTGAAGTGAATTTCTCCGCAGCGCATTTTCTTACCGCGGCCAAAGACGCGCGGTTCAAAATTCACGGATCAAAGACCTTGAATTAAGATATTGGGAACACGTGCTTTTATTTTTTGGCAGTGTAGGGGGAGGGGGGGGGGGAGGTGATTACAGCATCGCAGTTGCCCGGGTCGAGTAGCCTAATTGTATGGTGTCGCGTGCCAGTGTGTCCTCGGTCGGTGTAAACAATGATCGCACGCCCCACAAGTCAACGCGCGCGGGGCTCAGGGCATCTGGCTTTGCGTTACCGAGACTGCACAGACGCCGGAGCCTCTGTCCTCTGTCGTTGTCCTGTCAGGCAGGGGTGGGCAGAGAAGGAGCGTGGAGGACAGGATGCTGTAATCGGCAGTTTTGATCTTCTTTGTTCTAATATTGAGTTAAATGGGGTTTTATGTGGGAACATTAAATGCACATGTTTGCTGGATGAAGGCACATACGGTGGCATAGGGATGGTGTCGTTGAAGCCTGGATTGTGTCTTTTTGTGGCGCCTAAGGGTCACATCATATTTGGCACATGTAACGTATTTTAAGGATGATATGACGCAGTCTTTTCCCATGTATTTTAAATGAAAAGTTCGGGGCGCGTTATAATATGATGTGTGTTTAAAATGGGACCTTTGTTCGCCACAAGTACGTGTGGTTAATCCAGACTTGATTCCTTGCAAAATGTATCTATTTGGTGTTTGAACATCTTAATACCTCCTGTTTTGTTGCCAGAAAGGGTAAAACCTATGATTATTTTTTCATATGGTTTTGTTTATTAATGTGTTTTTTGTGTGTTGGGGAGTGGTGGAACATTGGTTAGTGCGCTACGCTACGAACTTGGCCACTTGAGTTTGATTTCCACTCACGGTCAACACCAGTGACGATTATCTGAATTGGTTCTGGGCCTCCCTTAAGTCGACTCCGCCTTAGATGAGTACCTGGTACAATGTGTAAACATCAGCACTGGGGAAACAAAGGTGACCGAGTGAGGTGGTGACCACCTACCCTTTTGTATACCGTGCGGGCCTTCATAGGTGCCCAGTAACAACATTTGCCCTAACAGTTTGTTAAAGGCTACACGGGAGTTATTTCTATCTTCGTTTGGGGAGCGGTAGTGCAGTGGTTAGCACACTTTGCTACGAACCCAGAGACTTGACTTCGATTCTCGCTCACAGCCAACACCAGTGACGAATATCTCAACCAGTCATGGGCCTTCCCTGGATCGACTCATTCTTAAATGTGTGCCTGGTGCCATGTGTAAATATTAGCTTTGGGAAGACCAATGTGGCTTGTATATGGTGTATGTTAGCGTGTATGTGTGTGACCAGATTTGTATAACTTTATTGACTCCGGCCTTGTAATCCGTAAGATGTGGCGAACCTCGCAAAGCCAACAGAACCGTGGCAGCGGACGGTACTGCTACATTCGTATGGCAATGTGAAATTAGCAATGTTGAGTGTGGATATCGAGGTCATGTGGATGTCTAGGTCATTTGGACATTGAGGTCACATCGAGGTCATGTGCATATCGAGTTCATTTGGACATTGAGGTCACATTGAGGTCATGTGGATGTCGAGATCATTTAAACATTTAGGTCACATCGAGGTTATGTGGATGTCGAGGTCACATCGATGCAATGTGGATATGGAGCCTCTGTAGAGGCAGCAGTTTATTCTGAGGTGTGTGCATTGCAGCGACTTCTTGTTGCGGTCCTTATTCGTGTTGCTATATTTTTTTATCGCAAATAACTTTTATTTACACATCATTCATCAAACCGTTCATCGGTAGAATATAAATCTCGAGTGTGGATAAGCAAGGTGGAGCATGCCTGCGATCTAGAGCATCACACACTGGGTCTAGTGGCCACGCCGATGCAGTACATCAAGTGTGATTGTGAACCCACCGGTGCATCCCCCGTTTTCATGCGTGAGTTTAATCCAGGCCCTCCGGTTTCTTCCTCACGTGTAACACACTCATTGGTGGGATTGGCCAAATATCTCAATGCAGGACAATCTTGAAGAAGAACAATTTTTGAGAGTCTTTAATTCACCATTACAACGGAGATGTAGAGTCTTCATAGGTTTGTACCTGGTTCAATGTCACCAACCAACTGACTTTTGGGAAAACGAAAGTTAGCTTGTTGGCAGGGCACGTGTAGTGGGTGCTCCCCACCTCCAAAATGTCTGTCTGGTGTGGAAGAGTAGGCCAAAATGCCTTCCAGAGGGGCTCTCCAGAGCTGACTCTCCGAGAGGCAGTGGCATGAGCAAAACATTCAGGGATGCACCTTTAACTGATATCACTGTTGTAATAAGTGTCATTTGAGCAGCCCTTATTGTGTAATATTATCCCCCCTGAACAAATGCCATGCCTTCTCAAAGTAAAAACATTATGGGACACTTTCATCCGGGGAATGACAACACAGGGCACTACAAAGGGGTGAGAAATAGGTTCACGCATTCCTGTGCGACTGAAATGTTTAACGTTCAAACATTTAGTGATATTAAGAATAAACATTTTATGGACCTCACCATCGCTGTCGTCGTGTAAGTGGTTAGCATGGCTGTTGACACAACGGTACACGTTTTGATATACATTTTGTTGAGTTTTTTTTCACACCGTACATACAGTGAGGGAAAAAAGTATTTGATCCGCTGCTGATTTTGTACGTTTGCCCACTGACAAAGAAATGATCAGTCTATAATTTTAATAATAGGTTTATTTGAACAGTGAGAGACAGAATAACAACAAGAAAATCCATAAAAACGCATGTTAAAAATGTTATAAATTGATTTGCATTTTAATGAGGGAAATACGTATTTAACCCCCTCTCAATCAGAAAGATTTCTGGCTCCCAAGTGTCTTTTGTACAGGTAACGAGCTGAGAGTAGGAGCACACTCTAAAGGGAGTGCTCCTAATCTCAGCTTGTTACCTGTATAAAAGACACAAGTCCACAGAAGCAATCAATCAATCAGATTCCAAACTCTCCACCATGGCCAAGACCAAAGAGCACTCCAAGGATGTCAGTGACAAGATTGTAGACCTACACAAGGCTAGAATGGGCTACAATACCATTGCCAAGCAGCTTGGTGAGAAGGTGACAACAGTTGGTGCGATTATTCGCAAATGGAAGAAACACAAAAGAACTGTCAATCTCCCTCGGCCTGGGGCTCCATGCAAGATCTCACCTCGTGGAGTTGCAATGATCATGAGAACGGTGAGGAATCAGCCCAGAACTACACGGGAGGATCTTGTCAATGATCTCAAGGCAGCTGGGACCATAGTCACCAAGAAAACAATTGGTAACACACTACGCCGTTAAGGACTGAAATCCTGCAGCGCCCGCAAGGTCCCCCTGCTCAAGAAAGCACATATACATGCCCGTCTGAAGTTTGCCAATGAACATCTGAATGATTCAGAGGACAACTGGGTGAAAGTGTTGTGGTCAGATGAGGCCAAAATGGAGCTCTTTGGCATCAACTCAACTCGACGTGTTTGGTGGAGGAGGAATGCTGCCTATGACCCCAAGAACACCATCCCCACCGTCAAACATGGAGGTAGAAACATTATGCTTTGGGGGTGTTTTTCTGCTAAGGGGACAGGACAACTTCACCGCATCAAAGGGACGATGGACGGGGCCATGTACCGTCAAATCTTGGGTGAGAACCTCCTTCCCTCAGCCAGGGCATTGAAAATGGGTCGTGGATGGGTATTCCAGCATGACAATGACCCAAAACACACGGCCAAGGCAACAAAGGCGTGGCTCAAGAAGAAGCACATTAAGGTCCTGGAGTGGCCTAGCCAGGCTCCAGACCTTAATCCCATAGAAAATCTGTGGAAAGAGCTGAAGGTTCGAGTTGCCAAACATCAGCCTCGAAACCTTAATGACTTGGAGAAGATCTGCAAAGAGGAGTGGGACAAAATCCCTCCTGAGATGTGTGCAAACCTGGTGGCCAACTACAAGAAACGTCTGACCTCTGTGATTGCCAACAAGGGTTTTGCCACCAAGTACTAAGTGATGTTTTGCAGAGGGGTCAAATACTTATTTCCCTCATTAAAATGAAATCAATTTATAACATTTTTGACATGCGTTTTTCTGGATTTATTTGTTGTTATTCTGTCTCTCACTGTTCAAATAAACCTACCATTAAAATTATAGACTGATCATTTCTTTGTCAGTGGGCAAACGTACAAAATCAGCAGGGGATCAAATACTTTTTTCCCTCACTGTAGCAAACCGTACTAATCGGAGGCACGGAATTTTCCCAAACTCCCCTTCCCCCAACCCCCCCGCGTTTATCCACCAAGCAGTATCAATACACACACCATCGCTAGTCGATCAGCAGGTCTGGTGTGGTGGGGTAAAGTGTGGGTACTCCCACCTATTCCGAGACATTTGGCCAGTGTGGAAGAGTAGGCCAAGTTACTGTCGAGAGGGGTCTTCTCCAGAGCTCCCTCAAGCGGAGGAGGCCCTTTCGGCCAGCGGTGGGCATCAGCAAGAAATTGCAGGGCTGTACCTTAACCATTTTACCATATCTGCGAGACACGTGGAGTGAGGGTTTAAATCTCAGCCCCGCCGTTCACGACGCCGCGGCTTTTAGGGAACACGTGACACATAATCGAGGTTTTTGTTTTTTAGGTTAGATCGTGTGAATGCAAATGTGTCGTTAAACCCGCCACCACCCTGCACGGCCAGTTGGTGAAGTTTGACACACGTACAAATTACATTCCAGGTATATATATATTTACGCGCTCAAACTCCAAAAAACCCTATTATGGATAATGTTGGTCACAAAAGCCTACGTGTTGAAACGTGGCGCACGCTTGGGATGACTCTCGTGAACCGGGAGAGGTTTTTTTTTTTATTTTCAGTTAGTGGGGGTCACAAGAGTCTGCCGGTTGTTTTATATATTTTTTTTTTATGAGAGTAGTGTGGCTCAAGACAGAGCACGGGCTGTCTTCTTTCGAAACACTGATCCAATAATGAAACGGCACACTAATCATTGTATAAATGAATTTAAATACCATTATAGCCGAGTTGAGGATGTTTTTTAAAATACCATTGTGTGTGTTTTTGTTTATACATTCTTTTTTTACACGCGGATAATATGTAGCTGGCTCTGCCCGGCCTCGCTGTGCAAGGGGGGGGGGGATGCGAATTGAGTTTGATGAGCTCTTTTGCTTTTACAGGGTGACCGTGGAGATATAGGTTTGCCGGGGCCCGCGGGACTAAGCGGAAAGGATGTACGTAAACAAACACGCGCCACGCTCTCTCGCCGAGCCACGTTTATGGCCATCCTTATAAAAATGTTACCTGCGTCCCAGTAAAGTGCTGCCTTTCCTTCCCCGCTGCACAAAATGGAAAATCACAGGCATGGGAGAAAAAAAAATACCCTCTTTCGCAAGACATTTAAATTGTGATTTATTGAACCGCGTTTCGTGTGAATGCGTTTTTTTTCTTGATTTACCTTTCGCAATAGGCTTCCTTTCGCTGTGCCGCAATGTTTTTTTTATATATATTCTATGCCTGCTTTGGACCATTCCCATGTTTTTTTTCCATTGTGAAATAAAAACGATTATGAATGTCAACCAATGAACTGGAAGCAAGGATATGTTTCATATGTTAGCTTGTCCATGGAGGTGCTTAAATCAAAATGCACCTTGCCCAGTTTGTGTTCTTAATTTTAAGAATTACTTTCCTCGGAGGGTTGGTTGGGTGGCTCAAGAGTTTTCGCGCACTGAACCACAACTGCTGAAATTCTGAATTCGAATTCAGATATCCGGTCCATGTTTAAAATCGGGTTCTCAAATTTCGGCGGGTTCATGGTCTCAGCTCGGTCGCCATTGACTGCACGCACAAACGTGTAATATTACAATTGGTTTTGCACTGATTTTGACAAAATTCGAGCTCTGAGACTGTAAAAAGCATATATGCACAGATTCACTGCCATTTAACAGACATTCCTCTGTACAAGTATGCCTAGGAGAGTGCAGCACCCCTAATGTGTGTGTGTAAGAGGTAACTTGAAGCGACCTCAGAAGTGGATCCGTCATATCTCCTTCCGCAGCCCATTCTATAAAACATAAGTTGATGTAATTTCCGGTGAACTTTGCAAAATGTACATTTGTCTCACGGTATGAGACCACAGTTAGAAAAAATAGTGGAGAAATAAACATATTTTAAAAAATGTATTATTTTGTCTGTTTTGATTTCCAGGGCCAGAAAGGAAGTGATGGATTTCTTGGCTTTCCTGGACCTAGAGGAGAAAGAGTATGTATCCTCACACCTACTGCTCACTCAGCAGTCTCTTTACCTTCCAAGCCTCAGTTAACGAGGAACGCTGCCGCATTTTTAAACTCTTGTCAAGAATGACCTCTCGCTTTCGTCCATGGCTTTATCCATGAGACAGAGCCAACCAGCATGGCCGTTACGAGCAGCTACCAGTCTCCTTGCCATCTGATATTCCCATTTCAATTAAATGTAACAATTGTGCCGTTAGTAAATCAGCTTGCGAGGAGGTCACCATGACCTCTGAAAAGTGTTTTATTTGTGATGCTCCATAAATAAACCGGCAAAATAGTCAAGCAAAATAAGGACCGAAAGCCATTGTTGACATCGGGAACTTTAAACTCAATCTTAAAATGTGTTTTCATTGCGATGAATGTTGGCGTTTGGTCAAAATTCAACAGCAAAAAATGTTTTCCTAAACGTTTTTAGTGGCTGCCATAGAACTCTGCTTGGCCCTCAGGGCTGCTGAAGTGGCCGTTTTCCGTCCAACATTGTGACTCTAGAAATTTTAAATATTGATTAGATTTGTTTTATTGTCAGCGATATTGCTGTTTTCTTTTGTTGCTTTTCTTTGGAACGAGAAGAGTTTGAAGTTTTGTTTATTTTTTTTTCAATAATTAAAACAGCAATATTAACTTAAGACATGTGTATACAGTGTTGTTATGTAATGTTTATTTTAATCCTCGTTTGTTAAAGTTTGGGAGTTGTTTTTTTACCATATTGATTTAATTATATTCTCTGGCAATTGTTTTGGACGGTTAGTGTCCAAAAGTTTGCCAGGCTACTGTGACCTGGTAAATGTTGTGGTTTAAGTGGTGTTTCTTTTGGGTTAGAAATCATTACCACCCCATTTCCCATGCGCTCCATCCAGTGGTAACAAGCTTGCGAAGAGCAAAGTGTACTTGTCCAAATTCCATTATTTGATTTTATCAGTTGCACTTTTGTGATTGTCATTAACTGAAACTCAAACATAGCACATCCACAAAATAGCATCACTGCTCTCTTTGTAAATCGGCGGTTTACCGAGCGCAGGCTCGGAGAGACCCGAAAACGCCCTGCGGCCAGCAACAAACGGCACTCGTTAAGTTTTAATGAATAAGAGTTAATACCATACTTGATTTGAGCAAGGTTATACCAGCTTGGCGGAAAAAAAAGTCGACTGGAGGAATAACTACCCAACTCACTTTACGCATGTTTATAAACGCTCGCTTTTTTTGCACGGTTATTATTTTGAAATTGTTTTTTTGTTTGGTTTGCTTTGATCGTCATTTACACTCCCCGCTTTTTCATGCAAATGCTTAAATCCAGTAAGATGATAACCCACGCGCGTTCGTGATGAATGGACCATGCGTAGTGTCGCTGCGCAGGGATTTTACAGAGTGAAACATGAATGCTTTAAATTTCGATTTGAAGCGTCCGTGACTGCAGGGATTAATATTATTGGTTCTTTCGGTAAAGTCACGTAGAAGGGAAATAATAAAATAATAAATAAACCAATTAAATTAAATTCTCACGACGTTTTGGCCACAACGCAAGCAGCCGTCCTCAGGTGAAGAAACAGAGCTGTCGGAAAGACAGCGTCCTAGTGAACACGGCTGTGTCCTTCACCTGAGGACGGCTGCTTGCGTTGTGGCCCGAAACGTTTTTATTATTGTATTATTTCCCTTCTACATGACTTTACCGAAAGAACCAAGAATATGAATGCTTTTCGCTCGAGACCTGTGACCAAGGGAAAACGTAGGACACACGTGCTTAAAAAAAAAGTTTATTAATCACCGCATCGACTCTTTTCTTCCCCGCAGGGGGAGGTGGGACCGCCTGGACAACCCGGTGACGTTGTAAGTGACTGAAATATCGTGTTGGCGGGGGGGCGGGGAGAGCTGTGGCGCTGCCGGGGGTTTGTAAGGAGCTCGTTGCTAGCCGTGGGATGAGGGTCTTTTTTTGTTTCCCCCAAACATAATTACTCTGTGCGGCAAACCCCCCCTCACGGTGCCTGCTCGTTTGTGGTGCAGACGAAGGCGAGCAGCTGTTGTGGGAGATACGTGCGCTGCAGATCCACAATTCACATTAACGAGTTACATGAGAGGCGCGCGTGTCGACGGCTGCGGGGAATCTTCTCGGAGCCGGAGTCTGCGGCGGATTGACTGAGTCGTAGCGGAAGGCGGCGTGAGGGCCCAGGCGGGCGGGGAGAGCACAAAGCGTTAATACAGCTGCCACGCCACCCCCCCCAACCCACGCCCCCCCCCCCCCGAAATAGAAACTCTTGCCTCTGCTGTGGCCGCCACCACCGCCACCACCACCACCTTCAACACCGCCGCCACCACCTTTAACGCCGCCACCTTCACCACCACCACCACCGCCGCCACCACTTTACCGTCACCACCACCAGCACCGCCTGCCTTGTCTCATTCTCAGCAGCGTTGTTGACAGCCTCACGCGGCTCACCGCCCCCACCCCACCCCCCGGCCACCCGGCGGCGCAGCAGCGAGCCGTGCGGATGAATGAGCGCGAGCGGCGTTGGCGCGCGCCACGCTCACGCGCCGGTTCCGATAATTAGGCGGCAGAAAGGAGCCGCTGACAGACTCGTCCCAGGCCGGGGCAGCTGGGCGATCCGCGAGCTATTCCGCTGGTTTTCCCCTCCGCGCGAGGATCGCGGGGCCTTACAGACCCACGTCCTTGATCGCGAGAGTTTGAAAACACCCCGCGGTTGTTTGCCATCCTCCGTGCCTAATTGCACCCATGAGCAGCACTTTGGATGCGTTTTGTCGATTTGCGGAGACGGAAGAGACTTGTTTGTTGATGTTTGTTTGCAGGTGGCGCAGCAGGGATTAAAAGGAGAGCGCGTAAGCAATACGATTCATCGCAGAGCACAACTTCGCCGATAACAATTCGGTTCACGGAATGCGTGCTCGCAATCGGTCATAGAAAACAGCGGGATGTTTCGTAAGAGTCAGCCTTTTTCTTTTTTAGAGCGGCTGTTCACATTCGTAATAGACGGATCACTTCTTGACAGAGTGGAACATTGTGTTTCTTCCGTGGCAAACCTCGAAAAGGGGCTGAGCTCGTCTGTCTTTTTTTTTTATTATTTAGGGAGACCGCGGTGCAGCTGGCCCTACCGGGCCTCCCGGCCCTCCCGGAGACAAGGTAACGCGAGGCCGGCTGGAAACACCTTCAAACTCGCGTCACGCAGAGAAAGCGGCGGAGAGGCGGAGAGGCTGGCCACACTCGCCGCGAATTTTACCGAGCCCTGGATGTGTCTGCAGCACGAGGATGGGAGCGGAACGCTCGCCGGGATGTAAAAAAAAAGCAAAGAAAGGGCTACCACTTGTCAAACCTAGAAAAAAAACAAGCTAAAGATCGCTGCGGTGTGCGTCATTCTTGTGCAAACTTTTTGCGGCATATTTGTCACAACTAGAAAATCGGAATACCGTTCGTAAACAGCTCCTTTCGTGTGTTTCTCCTGGGAGTTAATTCAGACGTTCGCTCAGAGGGCTGCGTTTTGTAAAAAAAAAATACAATTTACACGATTGTTTTTTTTTTTATGATGCGGCAGCCGCAGCCCCGGTACCAGCATCAGCTGAGTATTGTTGATTTTTTTTCAGTCTCTTCCAGCAGTGATTATACCAAGGGCTCACATTACACGTGAAATGCATAAATATTAAACATTTCAGGACAGTCTTGTGCTTTTTAAGCTACGCGTGCTATTTTCTGTTTCTTTTCACTCAAACAATCTTCCCACCATCTGAACCAAATCATGGAGGAAAAAAGCAATGCCCTACATCGAAGGTGTTTGACAAATTCCTTAACAAGTGTGTTGCTGCTTGTGAGAGAAAGACAAGGGTGCCTGGAGCAGCACAGTAGACCGTTGTTGCTCTCATTTATTTATCGAGGAGAGCCTCACTGAGTCTCGAGACCACGATTCACGAGGGTCATTTATAGGCATTTCCTAACCCAGTCCTTTCCACGGGGTGTTTGGCAAAGTGGCATGAAACCAGGGTAACCTCACGCTCCACTCCCCGCGCATAACGAGGGGATGAAACCCAAATGGTTTCCACAGAGGCAGGTTTACCGATCCCGGTTGCTGCACTTGCACCTACGCAGCGCAGCGGGTTTATGAACTTTTTTTTTAAAGGTCTCCGTGATCCACCAACCCCCGGTTTCTAAAAGCGCCGGATAGCGCGGGCGCGCCGCCACGCCCGGTCAAGATGGAAGCTGCGGAAAACCGTCGAGGCGCGCGGTGTGTCACGCCGCCACCACTTTTAGTTTCATCGCGCCCCATCAGACGCTGTAGCCGAGGGGGGTGGCACCTCGGGATGGCATGGTGGGGGGGAGGGTGGGGCCCTGACTCGTTGGGTTTTGCCATCTTGTGTTTTGCAGGGCGATCTGGGAGCGGAGGGCAAGGAGGGCTCTCCCGGCAAGGAAGGCCAAAGGGTGAGTCACTGCCGCGCACGGCAGCCACCGCAGCGGCCCCGCGCCGTCGCGATGCCGACAGCCAGCGGCGTCTCGAGACTCGAATCGTGCAAGAGCAGGAAACTCCGCTTTTGGGGTTCCTCCGGTCGTGAGCGATGCGTTCACGTGGATCGGTTGACTGCAATGCTATGATGCAGGGGCTTCGTTGGTGTTTTTGTGCAGTGGGACGCTACATTCGCTCCACCAGAAGTGGCATTGTGGTGCAACTGCAGTTTGGTGTGTTATTCTGTTGATCCCACGCGAATGCTTGGGACATTCTATCACACTTATACAATATGAGACAAAAGTGTTGCTGGCTTGCTGGCTGGCTTGAGAGAAGGACGGGCAGATAGTAATTTCCAAAGGACGTGTGGGCTGCTAGTTCTATAAAATAAAATACACTTTTTTTGTATCTGTCTTGGTTAGCGAGCTATGATAACGCGTAAATGCACGCGCAATTTTGCTGCTTAATTTTCCACTGCTCCAAAAAACAAAGCTGCGGGTAGCTAAAGAGGTGGGTGGCTCTGTACGTTTCAAAAGCCCTGGCCTACATCGTCGCCCCCTTGCGAGTTTAGAGGGGTTAAAGGTTACTTGCATCCCGACGCTTGTTTCCTACTCGAGCAATTAACCTTTGGGCACAAGCTTCGCCGTCTTCATTTCATCCCGCTCTTTCAACTCGGCAGGGGGAAACTCTCGGGATTCGGGCAGGTTGGGTGCGATGTCTACCCGCGCGGCCATTTAAATGCGATTGGCCATGCGGGAACTTTCCACGCTTAGCGGAGTTGTCCCCCCCCGCCCCCCTCGCGCGATTGCTAAATGATGGCGTAATTACGAGCGGACATGACCCGCGCGCTTGCACCGTGCGTAGCCGTGCCCTTCTCCCTTCCTGCCATCGAGACTCGGTTGCGACGGCATTCCCAAGGCCGCTTCGGTGGGATTCTTTGTTTCCGGGTCGTGCCACGCCGCTGATTGGCACGACGTCCGACGTTTTCGCCGCGCGTGATGGGAGAGCTGACTTGAAACTTGATTCCGGGAAGAAGCTCCCGGCACGGGGTGGGGGGGCGGGGGGCGGGGGGCGAAACGACAGATGTTGTCGTGCCCGGACAGCGGCGCATTAACGAACTGACAAACCCATCGGAGCGCCGTACGGCGCAGCTACAAAAACAAAATCAACGTGAGCACCGTTCAATGATGCCCACCCAGAAGCTAGCTAGCACTGGCTTACAAAAACAAAAAAGGGCTGAAAAATACACACAACTCAAACGGTGTGCTTCTCCGAACTTAATCCTTTGCCATGTTTGCAGTGAAAAAAAAGGCACTTGAATGGGTTATATTTTCCTTTTTTATTGTTGTTGTTTTTTTTTTACCAAGTGAACCCCCATTTAGATGCAGCTTATCGTTTGAAGGGGAGACACGGTTATTACTTTTAGCTGCTACCCAGCTCTGCCAGACGTTTCATTCGCATTTTGTTGCCGACTGCCACGATGCATCACGTCCACCGTGCGTTTGCCGAAGCATCCAGTCACAGATCATTTGGTGTTCAAGTAGATTAATAGACCGCAAGCCGTATAAGGAAAGGAGTGTACCTTTCCACGGAAAATATCTCGGGATTATGCAAAGTCACACAGCGGCAGATTTACCGGTTAGCATGCCTTCCCATTGCTGGTTCTCCACAATGATACGTCACACTGATGACGGTAGGCAGCTACATGAATGAATTAGGCTTTTTTCATCACTCCAAGGCCCTGTGACTCCACCTGACATTTTGAAATGATAAATAAGATCACAGGTTCGAGGTAAAGAGCCAGCCCTGCGATTGCTCGCTCACAATCACTGCTGGAGGAAGAGCCTCCGCTATAGGGGGCTCTGGGGAGTACTTCCAGAGGGTAATTTTGGCCAGAGGTGGGGATACTCACACTTTATCCCACCACATGCTACCTACCGATCGACTAAATGTGGTGTACCCATCTATACTAAACTACGTAGCTCATTTTCAGAAGTGACCTGGCCACAAATGATAGCTCAACGAAGTGGCTTATCGCGTGGAAATTTATAGCAGCCAAATACTCTAAACTCACGTTTCTAAATGTGGCAGGAAAAACCGGAGGACCCGAAGAAAAATCCACACGACCAGGGGGAGAACATGCAAACTCCATATATACATGTGTCAGGATCGGGATTGAACCCACGACCTCCTGCATACTTAGTCGAGGGATTTAACATCTCGCCACCGGGGCGCCTATACTACTGCTGGGTAAAGAGAGGCAGAAGGATTTAAGAAACCTGCCCCATTGTTTCAACTGCTGCAATGAAACCAGGGACCTTTGTATAATAGCGGCATTGCATTGAGAACCTTAATACCCGTAATTTATCCAGGAACATCCTGCTTTGGGAGGTGTGGTCAGTGAGTGTTTGGCTTCTATGTGGGAGGAAATTGAAGGACCCAGAGAAAACCCTTGCCTTTGAGAGAATCAGACAAAGCTCTGCAGTAACCCCATGCTTTGTTGCCATCTTCTGGCCATCTCTTGACAATCTTCTAGCCCAAGAGTACAAGACTTGATATTCCCAGACAGTCTACCATCTAAAAGTCAGGTGATTTCATATTTTGTCGTATTCCAAAAGTGTTTTGCAATACTGCATGAAAACTTGTAATTTTCACTTGCAATTCCAATGTTAGTGCCCCATTATTATAATAAATTTCAACACCCTGTCATTATGGTGCTGCTAACTGAACTGTTTTAATGTTTTCCCGAGATTTTACTCCCAATTGTGCTGCCGGTAGCACGTCGTGAGACAAAAGTACGCGTGCGTGATTCTCGCCGAGCAGTAAACAACCTCGTTCTGAGAGAATTGTCCTTTAAAGAGTGATGTCACGAATTCTATGTCAGACGTGGCCCCTGCTTCACCCGAGGGGCACTCCACTCTCCTGAGCTCCCCGCTCTTTAGAGGTCCTCGTGACACAGCGATGAAACTGAAACAAACAAACATTCTCGGAGCTAATCTATTTCTTTTGCCAAGCTAAGTGAAAGAAAAAAAACGGAGTTGCAATTAAGTTCACCAAACATATTGATTATCACGTGTGTTTTGGGGCCCAGTCATTGGTATGTCGAACGTCTCTCGCAATGTATGTAGCTAATCGTGCTAATGGTGCGGGGAAGGACAACAAACTCGATGCAAAAAGCAGTTCTAAAGAAATTTAATTGGTGACGCTACTGTACATGTGCAATAACAAAAGGTTCTAATTAACCTCTAAACACAGGTGGCTAAGACCTAGATTCAAATGGCTGGTGTCAGCTAACTAACTACCTTTAAAACATGCTCTTCGGTTCTTTCGGTAAAGTCACGTATGTAGAAAAATGAAATAAAACAAAACATAATAATAAATCACGACGTTTCGATCGCAACACAAGCGGTCGTCCTCAGGCGGAAAAAATAAAATCCACCAGTGGAACTGCTGAACCGGCGAGAGAGATGTTACAACAAGGAGGTTGTGTACGTGGCGATGGGCAAGCAAGCGGGGTCTGAGCTGGAAAGGAATTCCATCCACGGACGTAAGCACGTCAGTTGTGTTAATGGGGGAGATTTGTTTTATTTTATTTTTCTACCTACCACGTGACTTTACCGAAAGAACCAAAGAGTATGGATTCCTGCAGTCACGAAAGCTTGAAATCAAGATTTCCTTTAAAACATTGTAAACCACAACAAAAATGAAAAACCCTGATCATTTTCTTCTTCACAGTTGCAAGTACCTAATCTCCTCAGTGTAACTTGCCCGATGTATTTGTTTAAAAGATTTATGAAATCTAATTGGACTCAATGAAAGTGCTTTTTGGCAGGAGTGCCATGAGTAGTGTTTGCCGTTAAGATAAGGCATCAGCTTTGGCATTAATTTGGCTGCTGACTTTGTACTTGGGGAAAGGGGCCGTCCATAAATGACGTCACGCGATTTTGGACGATTTTTCACCCCCCCCCCCTTTCGTCACACGGCGTCACTGTCATTGTAGTGCGTTTTTAATGTGGCGCTGCACTCTGATGTTGTAGGAGAAAACATTTGGCAAAAAGTCTATTTAATTATGTAGAACGTATTCTTGGTTCTTTCAGTAAAGTCACGTTGAAGGGAAACAATAAAATAATAATATATTTATGAGATATATTATTTATATTTATATATTTTATTAGTTTATTGTTTCCCTTCTACGTGACTTTACCGAAAGAACCAAGAATATGAATCACTGCAGTCACGAAAGCTTTAAATCAAAATTTAAGTAGAACGTGTTGTCTATATTTATTTTAAGTTGCGCATTTTGATGTGACGTCACGTTTCTCAAACCCGCCCCCCCCCATCGTCACACATCGTCACAAATGTCTGACCACACCCCCTAGGTGTGTGACGTCATTTATGGACGGCCCCAAAGTTGAGCACTGAAATATGTGGACTTTGGTAGTCTTTGCTGTGCTTGTGCAACGCAGTCATTTGGTTATGAAGACGGTCTGGGGATTAACGCGTCGGCACAAATCACGATGGCAACGGTGCAGTTAAGTAGAGGTAACAGGGTGCCTATTTATCGCTTTTGGTTTAGGCCACTCCGCTGCCAGCTCGCGGTCATTTTGCGCCTGAATATATAGTGTGACATTAACATTGCGCAAATACAATCCGCTATTTATGAGCGCCGTAAAATCCGGTGGCACATGCTTGTGAATTATTTTAAATGAGAAACATCAATTTTGGAATGGCGAAGGCCACCTTGTGAGTCCTAAGGGCCTCGCTTGGCGAATGCGGTATTGTTGTTCTAATGTGGGCTGATGGTTTTGTGTACTTGTACACCCTCCTGGATAGATGTTATATCAAGCCTGCAGGGTGACCTTGTTAACGTGGGGACAGGGCGGTGTGGTGATGGGGGTGAGGGATAGGGGGATGGAGGGGGTGTACATTATAAAACTCAGGGAGGGGGGGATCACTGCAAAGTGAATGTTAAACAAAG